CGTCTATATTTCTGTTTTCACACTGACCCCCGTGCCGCGATGGTTGTAAGACAACAGGGGCAGACCTTTTGGCATGTTACTCGCTCTTAGTTCGCTGGTTTTTGCTGAAGCATTGGCTGTTTCTAAGTCATAGCTTGGCCCGGTGCGGAGTATGTTGGAAATTATCTACATTTTACCAAGTGGATAGTTGACTCTCCGCCCCTGTTCTATCAGTGGTGCAAAAGATGGTATTTGTTGGTTGGGGCTAACGGAGATTCTATCCGCCCTTGACTTCCTAGAAGGGCTACTAATGCCTTCAAAGACTCTCTGAAGGTGTGCCCCTAGAGTGACCAAGGGCATTGAAAATCCAGTCAGTGCGAGTTGTGCCAACTCACACCGGGAACTTCATATTTGTGCTCATTGGATGTGCGTGGCCAGCAAATATGCAGCCGATACGCCATAAACCCGAGACAGTCGGTGTATTCCGTTGCCGTAAGCACTGTCCTAAGGAATTTTAGGCAAACACAATGCTTATGCAAGGATTTTGAAGTCAATAAATGCTATTAATTTACTGTGAATATAGCTGGAAATCTCTAACGATCTAGGACATGCCTGGTCTGGAGAGAAAAGGGTCTTGACGGCAAAACAATGTTGCAATATTGCCATTGTCTCTGAGGCCTGGATGCGGACATTTTCTGCCGAAAAATTTCGACAACCCGAGTCTGATTCACAATTTCCTAGATGATCCACCTGAACAGACGTGCGACAGGCGAAAAGCGATCATGACGGCAACCTGGACTCGTATGCCATTACCCTTGGGTTATCCTGTGGGTTCTCAGTTGCCGAATAACCTAACGCTTCTATCTTTTTAACGCTAAAAGTACTCGATGCTCTCTGTGCACTCCATGATGGATTGGTATATTTTGTGTTTAGGAGCACCACGGAAAAGTCCGCCGGTCAGCCTGCTGCTTCCTGACAGTATATGCTTGGTATTCCGAGCCGGGATTTTCCAACTCGCGTTTCTAATCGTTGCGCATGTGACTCGATCCGGCGTCTGGCTTGACGCTTATAACCTCCTAGTGGCCGTTTATAACCATCGTCTTTATTCAGGCTTTCCTGTCTGTACTACATGAGGCATATTACGGGATATTCTGAGTGACCATGTGCAATTCCTGCAAATGGGATTCGATGGTAGCCGCATTTTCATTTTTTCCAAAACGTTGAACGGCGGAGCAATTGGCTACTTCAGAAAAGCTCGAACGGTTCTGAAGTGTGCTTCAAAGCTAGCCTTTGTCGGTCTAGAGAGGCGTAACGTCACAGCCTCGCAGCTGCCGACCTGGTACTATTGGGGAGGGATGGTACCTTGCTAAAGTTGAACGTCTGATTAGTGAATCACTGATCTCCACCCGCTTCTGCTTTCCTTATCCAATCTTTTCCCTGCAATCTTAGGGCCTAGAGCTCATTTTACTTTGAATTCGTGACACTATGTACGAAAGACTATGGCCGTCAGTTCGTTTTCTTGAAACTGGCTGTTGCCGTTGATATTAATTTGATAGTTGTGGTTGATAGCATGCCTAAGCCTGCAGCCATTAGGTCAAGTTTAGTTGGAGAGCAACGTCTAGATTCCTAGCCATATCGTGATCCAGCTCCTGGGCGAATTTGACCCAGGATAACTCGATATATTTCTGGCCAGATTCGACCTGTGTCATTATTATCCAATAACCTCGATTAAACATGGCGTTAATGCAGATGTGTGGTTCGTCCCTTATTATTATTCTATCTGTTCGTGAGACGTGTTTATACCCGCATTCAACAGTATCATTTTGACTAACATTCAGTCAGATCAGCAACCACGTGAAGTTTGCACCGCCTGTGAACTCGTTACACATAGCAATAGACTTCCTACATTATTTCTGTTGGATCTCCTGTTGAAAAGTCTTCCAATACTTACAGCACATTCGAAGATCAGGGCCAAGCCTCATGCGAGGAAAACGGTTTGGCATGAAGTTGTGCCTTGGCCATCGTCAGTACTGTATGTTTTAATGCTGATCCATTCTCCAATAATCCTATGAACAGACAACATCAATCTTCCCCCCCTGCTCTCAAAATTTATCGACAAGCTGCAGATCCCTCTCTGTTTCAAGTTAATGGTAATATTAATTTTTAGTTGGTGTTGTTTCATATATATTTTACTCACGCCAATAGTACTTATCAACTCCAACGGGTGGAGGAATAGGGGAGGGAAAATCCCGATCTGGTAGGAAGATGGAGAACAATTTGCCTTTGCGGTCAATATGACAAATAAACCAACGAACCATCATGCCCTAGTGTATGAGTCGCGACTACACCAGTAAAACACCATAGCTCTCAGACCGAGGTGCAATAGAGGTTGTATGCAAGTGGACGCATCCAACAGCAGCCCACCAAGAACTCCAACGTCGTGCATGTATAACACCTATTTAAGGTTGGAAACCTCTGTCCGGATAGAACACCAGCTGTCCCCTTATTTTACTACCTTGACCACTTGAACGAGCATGCGGCGGGGCGCACAGAGTGATAACAAACCTGCTTGAGCTCTGAGCAGCGGCCAAACACAAAGCCTTGTTCTGAGGCGCCGAGGAAGGTGTAGTTTATCTGGCCAACATACCATAATTTCTAAACATCTGGGTGGCAGCAAAACGCTACTCAACCCTCATCGCAGAGGAGACATTTCCGCGTTCACGTTTAGCGCATAATTGACACGTTTATTAACGATTGAAGCATCAACTGCTAATCAATTAAAGCTCCTCCAACCTGGGAGGTATCAGCATTTGCCTAAAAGGGCAATCTTCTGTCTGATAAAATGAGAAGAATGCGATTCGTTCTTAGTTTCTTATTAATCGTTCTAATATTCAATACCCTCGAGCAGCGGAAAATCTTGGAATGGAAATCTGATCAAGCTCTAGACGATCTAAAATTTGTGGCGTTCCTGCTCGTAAGAAACGGATTGCAAAACTCTAGACCAAATCAAGAGCAGAAGTCTGCAAAAATAAAGAACGAATAGATGAGAAGGAAACAGTGACACCCCACAACCCTAACAAGGGATAGCCGTAGATTATTCTTCACACTTCCATACGGATCAACAGCACTACCATTAATGGAGCCGCCAATGAAATAGCAGAGCGCAGGGAGAAGCTCAGAGGAGAAGAAAGGTATAAAAACAATAAAAACAATGAAAATGTTTAAAGAACCGTTTTTAGATTTTCAAAAAGTTCGGAATACACCACAAAATCTGTATCTCCACGACAGATATAAAACATCCACGCACTCATACATACAGTACCTACCTCATGGAGTACCTACCTCATGGAGGCACAGCCATCCGGCAGGTTTCTCGTAATATAATGACCGCCTATTAAATGCCATTCGTTCATAAAAAAAAAAAAAAAAAAAAAAAAAAAAAAAAAAAGCTCAAACCTGAAACCCCCTCAACACCCCCCGGGCCAGCCAGTCCTTGACACCGGCCCCCCTCATGTCCCTCTCTAAAAAAAGGTATAAATCATAGATTCATTCGCAAACCCCCCCACCTTCCGGCCCCTCGAACCCGAGTCTGGGCTGCAGTCGATCATGTTCGGTCGATCACGCACCCACAGGTCAACAGGCCTCTTAAAAGTCTTCACCGCGGATCAGGTCAGAGCACGGTAACTTGGCAGCTACCTGCTCAGCAGGCTGATGATCCTCGAAACGCCTCTTACCTCATATTAGTTTAAAAACTTCGGTCCACAGCTCAATCAAGCAATGTCTCGTCAATAATAATACATTAGAATCCCGCCCTTTGGTCGAAGACGCCGTTGGTTATTTTTGCGACCTGAGGCGCGGCTTTGGCTTCGGCAGATAGATGTAATGTACTGTACATACACCACCCAAATAAAGGAAGAATGTCCGGGCTGAAATGGAGCAGAGGAAAAGCTAGGCCTGGCTGGGGTAAACAAGGGCAAGGCAAGGCACAAATGGAAGGTTTAAATTAAGCAAGGGTAAGTAACCAACCAACCACACTAAACTTAACTAACTGGTGGCTGACGGCGGGAGAGATCTTGGGATGATTTACTGACGCCGATCATAAAGAACCCAATCCATGTTTGATATAGCCAGGCAATTCTTCGTTTCCTGCTTTTGGCTAGAGGATATAAAATAAGGCGGGAGTGGGTGGGGGGGAAATGGCTTGAGGATTAGTCGGCTCCCTGATCGATCCTCTTTTTCACATTCCATTTTCTTTGTCTCTCTTTCTCTCTCTCTGATAATTCTTAAGGCCGAGTGCCAAGCGGAAGAGGTAATATCCGGCACCGACGATTGCTTTTTTTTTTTTTTTTTTTTTTGACATGTGCGCATGCATAGTAAGGGACCTGTAGCTAGGTATCGGGATTATTTCATCTCACATATACGAGAAGAAATAAGAATGGGACGGAAGATCGGTTCCTGTACGTACCTACATACATCACCGAATCACATACCTAGGTGGGTATAGGCTCCGCGAATGTACTCTGTACTAATGTATGGGTGATGCTATATCCGGTGGCATGGGGCGGTCAGGGCATTTTGTGGCGGCGCACTAGCTACTTGCTACCCACTTTTACTCATCGATGTTAATATGGGCTAGTTTGTTTTATCATGGCATGGTTGATTCTGGATCCTATGGGCTGTTTAATCCGCACATCAATAAAAGAGGGGTTTTGCCTGCTTTTTCCATGGAAGCGCTGGCCCAGAGATGGGCTAGTCTCGGGGACTCCGAATGGATAGGAGGAAGACAAGGTCTGGAATTCAATACTCGCTGGATTCGTATTGGAGGAGACAAGGCCAAAAGTCAAGCTGAAGGGGGAGGAGGTAGGAAAAAAAGGCTGACCTGTTGATGTTCGACAAAATTGTACTAAAATGGCTATGAGTAAAGGTAATGTACATGCCTATACCTACCGAGAAGGGCGGGAACAGGAACAAGAACGGCGGGCAGCTAAGTCGACCCTCATATGTACTACTGTACCTGGACACTCCCATTCTAGAGCGAAAATCAGGGATCGGACCTAGGGTTGTCGCTCATCCAAGCCGCTGGGAATACTCTAAATCCCTATACTTGGGTGCTATTCGCTCGTCCAAGTTCCAAGGTATTCTCTATCTGTACTTGGTACTCGGCTACTGCATTGTTCCAACGCTTCCCTAACACAAAATTATGTCAAGGCTTGTCGAGGCAATTATATTAAGTCCCTGTATATGTACAGTACCTGACAGATTGATAGATGTATGGGTCATTCCGTATTATCTTGAATATATGCTATGCTATATGTCGTTCGTATATGCATTACATACATGCCAGTTATTAACCGTGAGACTAGATGATAACAGAGCATCCAACTCACGAAGAAAAGTGACAGCGAGGTAAATGCAGGACTAAAGGGCCCGGACACGCTACATATAGGGGTAAATGTCCGATCTCATGCATAGGTAGGTTTTTGGGGTGTGGGAGAACAGAGAGAAGAGGCCCTAACTACTACCTATGTTATTTGCGCTTTCCGGCCGCAGCCAGGCTAATAAGCATTTTTCAAATTCGGGGTTCAGTTATGTCGTTCTGTCGGGGAGGCGTCTGGCTGACGTATACAGTGCCTTAGCCGGGTCATTGTTATTCTTAGATTGTTGGCGCGAAGGCACTACCTGGTTGGTTTCCGCCAGTTGGATGTGTCCTCTTTGCCGGATTTCGGGGGTGGCTGTGAAGTCCGTCGTGGGTGCGTCTGGCTTTGTGGATGTGTGTGGAGAATGTGAAGGCATATACTCCGTAACTATGGGAAGATTAGGCGCTCGTACGGCTTGATCTCTCTCTCTCTCTCTCTCTTCTTTTTATTTTTCCAAGTATTTTGGGTTTCTTTTCTTTTTCCTGATATGTGCATGTACTGTACTATGTATACTAGCTCTCCGTCCTAACACCCGCGCCGCGCCGGGTTTTGACAAAAGGAATATTTTGACAGGGATATTTCACAACTCATTTGCCGTCGGGTTGGGGCTATAGCCAGTCTGAGCAGAGAACGAGGGCCATCATATGGACCTTTGTTGTGGGTTGATGAAAGGGATTGGAGACTTGAGGGAACAGCCGGAATCAGCTTCAATTCTTCCCTCTTACCACTTTTTTGTCTTTAGAGATTTTAATTTGCTTGTAGTCGTTCTTTGGATTCGTCCATTTTCTACATCCCGCTATTTCCCCTCAAGCCCTGTTATTGTGTAGCGTTGGTCTTTGTTCTTTGTCGGCTTGGTCCTCTATATTGAGGCGCGATATGGCCGGCACTTGCAGGGTGAGCGATCCGTTTGAGCTTCGGCGGAATCATATACAGTACTTTTGGTTCCTACATAGCTTAGTAGCAATATATATGTAGCCCGAGGAAAATGAGAGCAAGAAGAATAGGGACAACAAGGAGCGCAAACCCGGAGCAGGATATAATGAGATCAAAGTTGGATAACAGCAGCAAGGCAAACATGATCGCGAAACCCTCAAGTGCAGGGTGCCGATAGCAGGTTTGCCTTGATGATATCTATAGTGGACAACAAATGGCACATCACAGGAAGGAGAAAACTGTGACGAATGAAGAACATATGGCAGATGATGCATCAAAAGTTCTGAAAATAAATCAACACTATGCCGGGACCGATGGGAGATAGAATACCCAGTAGAAGGGTTGGAAGAAAAAGGAAAAGAAAAAAGGCCCCCGCGAATAATAGTCTGCGAAACATGGATAATATTAAGCAGCTCCCTTTTCCAATGCTTTCCTTTATCCCGCAGTTCATCCACAAGATTTGTTGGGCAAATAAGAGAAGTAATCTGAGGATGCGGGTTGGGGATTACCAGGCTTGATATAGACTCAAACGGTAATGCAGCCGATGCAATGTGATGTGTCTGTTGGCAGCTTCGAAGCATGTCGTGAGACTTTGAAAAGCGCGTGCTTTATAGCCCTTTGTCCCTCCTCGTAGAAAGAAAAGTCCCAAGCGATAGAAGCGAGGAAAGATGCGTATCCGTAGGCTGGAACGAATATCGTGGCCGTTAATAAACGACATATGGGACAGAGGGCATGCTACCGGCCGGATGGTCTGGAAGTCTAGACGCATGTACGCATTGGATCTTCCTTTATCTGCTGGTCAACGAGGCCCGGGTGTCCAGCGGTGAAGGCCGAATAAGAACTGCAAAATTAGCATGCACAATGTGTTTGTCTATGATGGGGGGAGGAGTGCGGAAAGGGGGGATGCGGCGAAGCATAATGAGGTAGCGTGTTGGTTGGGGATCGTGTGAAGGATAGGGAGCAAAAAAGCAAATATGCAGAAAATGTCCGAAGGAAAGATAGAAGAAGAATGGAAAAGAAAGGGCGAAAGAGTGGTCGCAAAGATTATTTGCTTGCTGTCGATTGCTGCAAGGAGATAAATCCGGGTGGTTAGGGCGAAAGGGGCTCGCACATATTCGTATCACCTAGGATGTAATGGACCTTGGTTGAATGACGTGGTCGGGGCTGCAGCGGCGAGAAGCCTTGTTATTTAATGCAGTCTTTGAATTTTTGTAGATGTAAGTATAAGTAAAGACCAAACACAACGCGATAAAAGCAATGCCAACTGTGTCATGAGGATGAAAATTAACCCTATCGGATGCGTAGGGTGGAAGCGGTCAGAGAAGTGTTCTAAACTGAGCGACAAATCGCGCTAACGCCAGTTCAGGGGGTATGGACAGGATCAAATAAGAAAGCCAAGTAGAACACGCTGGCTTATTTTGAGGCCATCTACACATTTTGGAGGAATCAATTGAAGTAGCCATAAATGCTTTCATTGAGCAATCATCAGAGTAAACTGAGGGAAATATTTTCTTTACCGAAACCATATCAATTTGAAAACACCACACAACATTAGCCGAAAAAGAGATCAAATAAATTACGTAGTCTTCTTCGCAAACTCCACGCGGAGGATCAGATGCCGATAACCAACTACTTAACGCATTAGCAGAGGAACTGTCTGTTTGCTGATACACCGCCTTGGGAACTTACAGCCATCCATTTTCTCGCATGCGCGAGCAGCGTCACTTCTATCCTGGAACGAAATGAAGGCGAAGCCTTTCGCCATATTTGTTTCCCTATCCTTTGCCAGGAAGACTCTTGTGACGCGACCGAATCTCTCAAACATGTCTCGAATTTCTTGTTCTTCCGCAAGTTCGCTCACCTGTCGCAGAGTTAGTATACAAGAAGGGAGGAATGTGGTTCTTTGCATGAACTTACGTTTGTAACGCGAAGAGTTGCCAGATCGTCTCGTTCATATTTACCGCCCATGCGCTCTCCAGCCCCAGCACCGCCTTTGCGTAGATGTGGTGGTACGTAGCTGCTGCCGCCGGCACCCAGGCCTCCAGCTGCCCGGTCTTCACCCATATCGTCACCAGCACCCCCACTAGGCTCTTCTACTGGTGCCATCGTATCCTTGAACGGACATCTGGCAGTGAAATGCTCTCCAGAACAAATTCGACACTTGACTTTCTTGTCTTTTAGTTGGTCCTTGATGCTTCCCTTCTCGGGGCCTGCTTTCTCTGCCTCTTTCGCTTGTGCTTTCCAGTTCACACTAGGTCTGAAGATAATATTTTCACCAACGGAGGTAGTGTCGAACGAAGGGCCAGGAGGATGACCCTTTTCACGCCCAAATTTTGTCCATCCTCGTCGTTCTGCTACTCTGGGGTTCACGTGCTCCTTGACCACAGTTGTACGGATTCGGCGGCTTGTTTTTACTTTCTTGCCATCGTCGTTGAATCGATATGAGATAACAGTCTTAGTGCCATCTTTATTGTTGATAACTTGTTGGGGTGGAAGGGATTGGGTTTCTTCAAACTCCTCGTCGTCCGCCCAATCAGCGCGACTGTAAACTGTTAGTTGAGGGCTTTCCTTCGCTGCTAGAAACAATAAGAGGATCAAAGACAAACCTACTTCGCAAGTTTTGACATGGTTATAAAGTCTGTTGTTGTGTATGAGGCAGATTCTGTTTGTGATATGAGTGTTGGCCTCCTGTCCTGATTTTACTGTGCAATTATCTCGAACTCTTGGCAATGGCGAGTAATAGTGGTTTGAAGCCGGAGTTATGTCGGCCCGGATATAAATGGCTGCACTAACTGTATTGGGACGTTGCCCTAAAATCATGTGATATCAGAATATCTTTTGACTTGGTTCTTAGTCTTTTGTGCACTCATTCCTGTCAGTGGTAACGATCTATGAGTGCCACTTGAATTCCTCTAATACTAGGAAACAAAATCTTATATGTGCATACTTATCCGCCAAAACCTGAAGACCATTGGAATTGGATTGTGGAAATATTTGCCCCAATCAGTCACTGACCGTTAAGATTATTGATGGATCTTCGCATTGTCTGAACATGCGATGCTTGGTCAATGTGAATTGTACCTGGTATCCTCATCATCGAATCCCCTTCCTTAACATAAGCTGGGATGTTTCCTATCGAACAAGAGAAACATAAAACTAAAGCCAGTTGCGTTTCGATGCCACGAAAAATCACTGCAAATGCGCTTATTTATCTCCCCCAATTATGAAAATCTTATCCTCGTTCTGAAATACAAACATAGTAGCTCATGTCTTCACTTGAATGCGGGGCTTAACCAGCAGCCTTGACTCGACATCCCTTTTTCTATACTCTTGGCTCAGTTGTGTTACAATCCAGAAGCTGGGGAAATAGGTGCTGCGCTGAAGGTCATCCTTCCGGAGCTTACAGGGTTATCAACAGCGTTAAACTCATCTAAAATGACTAGTTGCGACACATACTTTGTTTCGAAATATATATACATCACGTCACAATGCGCTTTCAGAAAATCCGGTTCTCCGGCATTCTGAGCATGAGTGTGTTCAAGCATTGTTGGGTTGAGCAATTTTCTTGCCGTTCGCGACTTGCGAGGGTGCATGTGAGGAAGTTGTTCATTCATCTGCTGGAAGAAACATACTGTTTTCCCCTGAGGACTTCAGTTTTCCGTTGGCTTTATTGGAAGATCCGTGTGGAGCGCCGGATGATCCTATGTGTGTTGTTTGAGCATACTAATTCGGGTTGTCAAGACCACTTTTCTGGTAAGTGCTTCTGAGATTACCGGGCTGCTCTGAACTTTTTGAAACCATCCGCAAAGTTATTTTATATTATAAGAACTTTCAACACCACACCAAAATACCATATTATGTTACATAAGACTCGCATAAGAGAGTTGTGGATTGTTACACTCTCAAGATCCAAGAAAAGCACGCCAAACTGAGGAGAAGCGTGCTCCTTGCCCTAATACGATCAGATCGCCATGGCCAGTATTTGGAGGGCCGGTGTTCATGCTCTTTGGCCCGCTGCAGACAATCTTATTACTATCAAGGGATTTTCGGACACGTGTCTGGAGGAAGCGTTGGAGAGGTAATGATATAGCTGTTAACAAAGTCTGCCTTCCCTTCAATCACGGCACTTATCTGGTTATCAGCACATGATGAAGACATGTACCAGAAGTAGCACGTTAGAGATGGCTGAGCAGGTGGATTTTCCGTATGCGTGGAGTTTGCGGGGCCGATAGTCGAGTACTTCGATTGCGTCGTATGTCTGTCTTCCCCGTTGCGAAGTCAAGATTGAAAAGTGATGGACGGAATAGTTCCAGCGCAAGCTCTGGCTGATACGAAGGAACCATGTGGCCCGACTGGTATACACGAGTGAATGAATAGTTCCCGTGCTGGCGCAGGCAACCCATGCCCGATTGGTGTGATTGCTCAATACGATCTCCTCGTACCCAGCCATTTTGAACGCGTCAGACTGACTGTAATTGACAGCGAGGCTAACAACCTTGCCGCCGACCCAATTGCAAGCGTAGTCACGGTCGCCATATACCAGCGCCACCTGGACACCTGAATCAAGCAAGTATCCGATTTCACTCGTATATCCTTCCATCCCGTTTCTCGTATAGTCTCCTGTCATGATAAACGACTGCCCAACAACCGGGGAGGTCTCAGTGTGATTAACAGGAACACCTAGTGCTTGCTTCACTTCTGGTTGTGCTAAAAATCCAACGTAATATTCCGGCGGGAACGGATCAAGGTAGCAGTGCGCCATATCATAATAACCCCATTTCATCTCGACAACGTAAGGGCCCTCGATATACTCCAGACAATATTCGCTCGCATTTCTATACTTGTCCTTAACTTGCTCATTGTTAGCGGTTGCGTTGGGATCTAGGGTCCGGGCAAGTTCTTGACACTTGGAAACTAGATTGAGACAAGTAGGAAGATCACCCTCTGCCATAGCCTTGACCGTCTCGTTAATCGCGATAATACCGTAGGAGTTGTTGTATGCAATCGAAGGATAAGAGGGTTCCTAGAGTAAGATATCCATACAACCATTGATGATACCCAGCGTTTCCAAGGACAAAACTGTGGCGTTTGTCCCGTTCGTTTCAATCTCCTTATTTTTCTCTACGATGTATCTCGCGAATGCTAGCCCACATCGACCTCCGTATGACTCTGTCCAGATGTGTATGGAGAAATTCTCCCGCCCGACCAGCAGTGTACTTGTCAAAACTCCCGGTCCAGGCCTGAAGAAAGTACCAGAACTGTATTGCTGCATTTTCCGTTTTATTGGCGGCTTGCTTCACATTCTGGCTGGAGAAGGCCCCTGCAATCCCGGTACCGTTGGGCTCTTCCCCAGGCATAACCTCCCCCGTTAGCAGGTCTAGAACCCCTTTGGTAATATTGTCATAATTAACCCCCTCTGCACAGGCTGGTCGACGTATAACATGTTTGTCCTAGGAGTATTTATTGGTTCGGACGTCTTAGAGTCATAATGGATACGGCACGGTCCATTCTCGACAAATACGCCCAGATCAGAGACTGCACCCGGTCTACCATTAAAAAAATGGACAGAGGATAATTTTTTGAGTTATTGCTTTGGGATTCGGAATACCAGAAGAAGAGGTTGACAGGATAGTCCTGACTAACACCAGACATTGTATTGGGTGGGAATTTTACATAACCAGTGTATGAGGTAGTGGAACTCCCGCCGCATATGTGGTCCTAAATGGAAACAGGTAATCAGCACTCTGAGGAAGATCAGTGGTTGTGCTAGGTGGAAGTTGATACTAGGTAAATGCTCTACCTGGACTTTCTCGTACGATATTTCAACCCCCGGATGGGATGTCGAATTGATCACTGTCAAGCCAGCCGGTGTTGGGGGATATTATGCTTGGACCAAAGTCCAGAACAGGAGAATATTCGCAATAATCATGATATACATTCTCAACAAGCGCGTGACAAGCAATAATCATAAGATAAAATAATATAGATGGTCGAGGTGAAGCGGACGGTGCAGATATTGGCCCTTCAAGTCGACAGAGTTCAAAGCTTTCCCAAATTGAAAGCCACCACGTAGGAAATTAGATCGAGTCCTATAGATATACAAATCTTTCAATAACAAGCGACCCGTGGACTCAACAAGATGCAGGGGGAAGATCGTATCTCGGGAAGGTGACCTTAGAGGGAAAGTATCATAACTTCAAGTCATGCTCCAGCCTGCGCGCAGTGTTTGTATGGGAACTGAGTTCTCTTTTAATTTTGGAACCGTTTATTGTCCTGATGTCATTAAACCTTACATCTCAAAGCCGTATTGAGATATATTGAATGTACATGTACCTAGGTAATACGCTAGAAGTAATCCATTTAGTGGACCGCGCAGGAGTGGGCATATGAGAAAATCCAGCATGCTTGACACCATTGCCAGCAGCAGTGGTTACTTGGGGGGAAATAACCAGAATATGGTCGATAAATCAATTCGAAAAAGACAGATAGAGCGGATAAAGCCACAAATCCCTTTGCCGCTGGCGTTGGAATGCGAACTCAATGGCAAGAATTATATTAAAACAACCGCCGAATCCGAAACCGTTTAACGGTTGGTGACGTGCAATTAAGCGCACACTAGCCAGATGATCCGCAGCTAGTTAACTAACTAATGTCTCCCACTAATCCAGACCCGGTAAGTGCCTCGGATCTTCAAAAGCTACTCCCAACGACACCCGGACGCTTTTGTCTTCATTCTACATGGTAAAATAAATTTTATTCGATAGCCGTTCATGTACATGAAAATCCATGTGCTTCAACCAATTAGATCACCTACCGCTTTTTGTAATCGTCTATTTCTATGTCTCCATTCCATTGAAGCAATTCAACCCGCAACCCTGCCACCCGCCTTCTTTTCAACCCAAAATCCGCCGTCCCTAAAAACGATGGCTTCATCCATACCTGCGCTCTGCGAAGAAGTCAAAGGTCTTCTTCCCAGCGACCTAAGAGAGGATAGATGGTATCTACTCACGGTAAGTTTCTTGAACCCTCACAAAACAATATCCCACTCGAAACAAAACTTGAAATATGTGAACGAAGTGGGTCGAGAGAGACATCAAATACAAATAATTGAAAGCTTCTCGGAAAAGAAAAATTGTAGTTAACCATAACCATCCTGTAATATCGGAATGAACAAAAGCGCTAATGGATAATGGAAGGTCTCTGCTCTAGTAGCTTCTGGCAAGCCGACCGAAGTAGGAAAGGTATACGAGTACTTAGTAGACACGGAATATCCCAACCTTACTCTGGAGCAAGAGCGCAGAATAGCTTCCCGGTTCAGTGACCTTCTCATGAAGGAATGGACGCTTGTCGGTATCCCGAGTGTGTTGATGGCTATATCATCGCTCGCAAGGGTGGAGAAATTCTTATCAGCTACGAATACGGGGCTGGGGGAGAAGAGGTACGTAAACGATTATTTCATTATACGTGTACCTGTTATATTATCCTACTTCGTTTTAATTCTATTTCATTTATTTGATATGTCCCTTGTGGCTACCTTCCTATTGCTTGAGTTCTATATATAGTACCGAAGCGAAACCAACACCAGGAAGGACTGTTTTTCAATATATGCATCATCAAGAAGGGCAGCTAGTAAACTAAACAACTCATCGGACAGGATAAACATTGACCTAGAGAAGGACATCACGGAACGCGGTACAAAATTTATTCAGCTCCTCTACAAGCAGAACCTCGAGCCTATATTCGACACGTGGGGGTCATACAAGGAAGAATTCGCCTGGCTGGAGAAGAGTGTGATCTATGGGCTCTTTCTGGCTGACCAGACGGTACTATCTCAAGTGGAAACGCTGCTAGTTACGCTACCCTCGATAATGTGCCAGGGCTGGCCAGGTCCGGCACTGTGGCATCTCCGTGGCCTAAGGAGGCTTGGCCAAAGCGTGGAGGACGTTGAAAAAGTGCAACAAGCGGTAGAGGCTGTTGCCGTTTGGTCTGGGAAGTCAATCGAGGGCTGGCCAAGGGTCACAGATGTTAAGGATGAGATATAGGATTATCCTTTCTTCTTTGGACACTTGATTCTTCTCTCTGGACGCAACCGGAATCATGCGCGATTTCAGTTATATATATATACAGATTTGGGGTGGAGCATCGGTTCACGATGCTGATATCTCAGTTATAAATACACGGTCGGAAATGCGGCTCGCTTGTGTATAGGAGCGTGGGTTTCCGCCGCCGTCATCACTCCCATGCTTAGATGACGTGGTCTGCTTTCTGCTTTTGCTGTAATGCTTAAACTAGCGGTTTATACTGTGAAAAGAGTAAACATGTTTAGTTTAGCCAACCCATACATTTCGAATTGATCCTTGTCCGGAAAGGACACAGTTTTCCGGCCTCCACGTAGTGACAAGGCCTCATTCGGCCTGATAAGAGGCGTGGTTTCTAACGCCCGTGTTAACGCCATTGTATTCCAAATATTTTCGTCGCAGTTTTCTTCGCGGAATTTTTAGTTGCCTCAGCGTTCTCGAGGTAATATCGTTGATGGCCTTTACTTAGTTAGGGAAATTGTTCCATTTTTGGTCGAGTAATGATTCTGGCATACCTTTAACATCCAGGGCCAGGATATTGTATTCAAATTCGTTTGTTTGAGGGTTCTTTATCAGATGTACGCTCACAACCCCGTCGTTGCGTGGACCACTGACCTAGAAGTAGAAAAAGAATGGTTAGAACATGCGATCTTGCCAAGGGAAGGAATAACCTAATTCTCACATTGAAGTTCATTCTCATGTGCTCCCGGCCAATTCGGTCCTTTTCCACGGTGGTTCTATAATGACGGTTTAGTCACCTAATAGCAAAGTGTTTCCAGTTCGAGCTCACTCACGCTATAGGCCTATTTCTAGTCCACTTATTCCATGAAGTCTCCCCATAGGCCCGTATCTTCTTGCTATCCCCAAGTAATTCTATGCATTTCGGGTCTCCTTTAACTCGGTCGACGGCACGATTGAAATTCCGGACTTTGCTGTCTGGCGCAAAAACTTCCTTGTAAAGCAGAGTAAATACCGTACCCTAAAGAGAAAATCAGTAAAATGTCCTGGACACTTAAATACCATAGGATTAAAGGATGCAGACCGTCATCACAGCGCCAATAACAATAATAAGGAAATTTGCAGATTGCTGCGTTGCCCGAGCGGCCTTCTCTCTTCTAGAAAGCTCCCCCCAGCGCACGCGGCCATCGTCACTGGTAACAGTTATTTGTTTTCTTGGCAGTCCGCCCTTTTGTGATGAGGATGGCGTTCCTCCCAAGTTGTTCTGAGTTGCATAGTATCGGGGAAAGGCTCTCCATGGCCTGGGTGGATGTTTTTTTGCGGGGTTCACGGCGGAGAGGCTTCGGAGCGCATATCGGGTACGGATGGCGGAAGTCATGGCTTGGATTGATTAAAGCTCCAGCACCTGCATCAGGGCGAGCAGTACAGGGTGTCACAGGGAGTTAGATAATAGAACCGCCATAAACTCCCCAGTAATTGACGAAATGATTATTGTTCGCCAATTTGTTCCTTAATTGCTTCCATATCGCCAGAATCCGTGGGCGAACTGGGGTGCGTTAACATCACGTGTTCCATTAGTATGGCGCTTGCAGCGCGCTTATTCGCGCTTGCAGATGATCCCATTTGGTGGGTTGGAACCACGCTGGCCGCTATCGCACCGACCCCCCAACGTCCTCTCTTCGCCAGACAGCAAAGCATTTCTTTGATCTCCCTCTGCAGCGTCTGTTTCACGGAGGTCGTTCCGTGCCGCTATTCACAATGAGTGCGACAAAGACGCAGTCCCAGAAAATTTTCGAAAAGCTAAAATCCAAGCCCGCAAATAAGGTGAGTACACCGCCAAAACCCCCTTTTGTCCTGCTCGCGACTTCTATTAACTTGTGCAGATATGTTTTGACTGTGGCACCAACAACCCCACCTGGTCTTCCGTTCCGTTTGGCATCTATCTGTGTTTGGACTGCTCGTCTAATCACCGAAACCTCGGTGTTCACATTTCCTTCGTCCGCTCTACCAACCTTGATCGTGCGTTTACTCCCAGGCCACCCTGTTGGTATGGACTCTGATGTGTGCGTGTGCATGTGCTAACGTTGGATATAGAATGGCAATGGGAGCAGTTACGGATTATGAAAGTGGGGGGGAATGAGTCCGCGACGAAATATTTCCAGTCACATGGTGGAACAGCCGCCCTGGCCAGCAAGGACCCCAAGGTTAAATACACTTCCAATGCTGCAGTGAAATATAAGGAAGAACTGAAGAGAAGAGCACAATTGGATGCGCAAGAGTACATTCATCCTAACATACTTATGTTGCCCTAAATTCACCATGTACTAATGAGTCGTGGGACCAGGTATCCGAACGAAGTTGTCATCACCGATGCTGGGCCAGCGTCTCCCTCTGACGGATCCTCCACCCCCGCAGGCGAAGGCGAAGACGACTTCTTCTCGTCATGGGATAAACCAGCCATCAAGCGCCCAAGCAACCCTCCCTCACGGACAACCACACCACCCGTAGTCAGCCGCAACGGTTCCCCGTTCCTCAGCGCGGGCGCTAACGGCACTGGAATTTCCCGACCAAAATCCCCCCTCTCTGGCTCCGAAGACAAATCCACAACATCGACCCCACCCGTGGCTGTTCGGTCAAATCCTGCAGTTCGCAAGACCACAGCCGCTGGCGCCAAGAAGGGGAGTGTATTGGGGTCAAAAAAGGCACCGAAGCTGGGTGCCAAAAGGCTCACCACCTCCGATACCATTGACTTTGAGGAAGCGGAAAGGAAGGCTAAGGAAGAAGCGGAGCGTATTGCTAAGCTGGGATATGATCCGGAAGCGGAGAAAGCTGTAGCTGAAGCAAAAAAACCTGGATCTTCGGCTACAAAAATAGCCTCCCCAACACCTGTAAGTCCCGCCCGAGGTGGCTTTGGAGCCACCCGGGGCCATGAAAGGAGCTCTAGTGAAATTGAACGTCTGGGAATGGGTATGGGCCGTCTTGGATTTGGCCAAGTTGGTGCTGCCCCGAAAGCCCCTGCCCCTAGGAAGCTGGGCTTTGGAGCTACTGCCGCATCCAAAGCTGCTGATGGTGAGTGGTCATCGATATCTCCTGGGAAACTTGTGCCTATAGAATATACTAACTGCTTCCTTTCTTACCAATTTAGACGAGGAATTAGAATATGCCAGACAGAAATTCGGTGGTCAGAAAGGTATCTCCTCCGACGAATTCTTCGGCCGCGATCAATTTGATCCAGCCGCTCAGGCTGATGCCAAGAGTCGCCTCTCAAATTTCGAAGGAGCGACATCTATATCCAGCAATGCCTATTTCGGCCGTCCCGAAGATGATCTGCCAGCTACCGACGAGTACGGTAATTATGACGATCTGGAAAGCGTAGCGAGAGACTTCGTGCGGCGGTTTGGAATCACGGCGGGTGATGACTTGGAGAATCTAACGCAGGTTCTTGGTGAGGGTGCAGCTAAGTTGCAAGGTAAGTTTTGTTTTGGGCATTCTCCCCACCCGGCTGTATTTTGTTTTGGCTTGTATCCACTTTCTCTTGTACGGTTATGATTCTCAGTCAGCTAACGTTTATACGCAGGAGCCATTCGGAACTATCTCAACAGTTAGGCCTACATATCTGCATTGTTTGGTTTCATTTTTCACCTCTTTTTAAACGGATGCATTCCCCCCTTTCTTTTTTCTGTTCTTATTAATTTACAATGCTTCTCTGAGCTCTTGCCCTTTTACATTTATTTTATTTTTTCCGTTTGATGATGGGGTTCTAGCGGATGATATCTGCACAGGGCCGGCCTTTTCAACGAGGTCGTTGGATACGGAGACGATGATAACTATAACGGCCGGCGATGGCTGGCTAATATGTATGGAAGCGAAGAGCGTTTAAAATAATCTTGCGAGAGTAGAATACCAAATTTGCCCTTGCGTGTCGTTTTTCTGTCTTCTTTCTTTTCTCCTCTTTTTTTTTTTCTTTTTATATTTTTTCCCCTTCCGTCTTCCTTTTTGTTATTCTTTTTCTTGTAGGTTAGTTCACGTTCGAAATCAATCTTAAAATCTAGTTGATGCCTCTGTAAATAACACCTTAAACAACCGGTTCAAAACGTTTTGCTCGATATAATGGGCAATTCCATTGGACGCTATTCGAGCTCCGCATTAAAATTGAAATTTAGCCTGTTGCACCGCTAGCATACAAAAAGGTAGACAGCCGCCATATCATCGTATCGATCCAAATATATATAAAAGTCCATGAAGTAGAATCCATAATACATGATGTTGAAATAAAAGAAGTCCGATCATAACTTTTGTTGAACACTAGCACCAAAAAAATAAAAATAAAAGTGAACATAAAAGGACAAACGTGATACACAACACCCCTTAAGAACCCACTGAACTCCTTCAATCGCCACGTCTATAAATCGCATCCGCCATCTTCACCACCTGCCTCATCTCCTCAACATCATGAACCCTCACCACGTCCGCTCCACCAGCAACAGCCGCAGTCACAGCCGCCGCGGTACCCCAAACCCTTTCATTCGGCTTCGTAACGCCAGTAATGCGTCCAATAAACCCCTTCCGACTCGTCCCCACCAACCACGGAAAATAGCGCAATCCTTCATACCCCTCCTTCAAACAATGCATGTTCCCCAGAAACTCTAGATTCTGCGCTTGGTTCTTCGCAAAGCCAATTCCAGGATCGAGAATGATCCGCCAGCGCCGCACGCCAGCACTCTCCACAGCTCTAATTCTCTCCATGAGTTCATTGGCAACGCCATTGATTAGCCCGCTGCCGCTGGCGCTACCGGTGCCGCTGCTAGCGCTACCGGTGCCGCTGCTAGCGCTACCGGTGCCGCTGCTAGGAACATATGCGCTGTAATCGGTAAGTTTGGTCATTGTCTGCGGCGTGCCGCGCATGTGCATGAGCATCACCGTCTTCTGGAGCTTCGCCATAGTAGCAGGCATGTTTGGGTCCATGGCACCCGCAGAGACATCATTGATGATATCTGCTCCCGCATTAACTGCCGCCTCCGCGACGGCGGCACGATACGTATCGATACTTATAGCGATCTTGTTGGCCTCTGGTAGGGAACGGATAAGTCGGATGGCTGGAATAACTCGAGAGAGTTCCTCTTGTTCAGCCACGGGGACGGAGTCTGGGCGAGTGCTTTCGCCGCCTACATCAATTATGGTAGCACCATTACGGATAAAGGTACGAATAGTCTCGGCGAGGGCGGCGAGGTTTGCGGGGGAGTTTTGTCCGCCGTCAGAAAAAGAATCTGGCGTTACGTTTAGGACGGCCATTAGGTGTGTTGTGCGTGTGGGGTCGGAAGGCTTGAGGGGTGGTAGGTGAGGGGATAACGGGGTTACGGCAACCGGGGGGGGATTGGAGGGTGGGAGGGACTCAAGATACGATTGATATGAGAGTTTTTTGTCTGAAAGGGGAGGGCATTCTTTAGGTATTAGTCTATTCTTATGTTAGTAGGGCGCGGCTTCACTACTGCCATCAGGGGTTGATATCTTACTGGCAAAGAGGCCGCAAGACAAATTCCCGCTCCAACATGAGTTTGTGGGGTATGTCCAGTCGAGGGTCGGAGAATTTTAAATTGTTGTATAACAAGATATCAAGGTCTATATTACGAGGCCCTTTGTCTATAATTTTGCGTCTTCCCATACCAGTCTCAATTGACTGAAGTGTGTTTAATAAGGCCGTAGGACCCAATGTAGTCTCGATCTATGAGAAATGTTAGATCATCCGATTAAAAACCAAGACATCCAACGCAAAAGAATAAAGATAGAAAGAAACTAACCTCACAAACACCGTTGAAAAATGACTCTTGATCTGTCACATACATAGGTGCCGTTTCGAAGAGGCCACTAGTCCGTATGATTCTGATGCCACGAGCTTCCATTTCTCGACAGGCTTGCTCGATCGCAGCAATGCGGTCACCTTGATTGCTCCCTAAAGCGATAAATGCTCGACATGGTGATGCACCCGGTACAGCTGCAGATGCGCTAGCTCCGTATGTTGAAGAGCTAGAGGAACTCCGACGGTGATTCATGGCAGCTAAAGTAAAGCTACGGGTTCCGTGTTTTCTAGAACAATTTGTAGTTTGACTAGGTTGGTGCTCGCTTCCTACACATTGCCGCAGCAATTGGTCCCTACGTCCCGATGAAACACAGTACCAGGAGAAAGAACGCCTGGAATCAAGCGCTCCCTCCAACGGGGAAGCCGTGTTGATGTGACAAGGCCCAATGGAAGTAGAACCACCTCGATAAGCTACAGCACCTAGCGAGCATTCACGACCACGACTAACAGGGTGTGACGCTTTTCTTTAAACTACAGTTAGCCAATTGGGTCTAATGAAAAAAAATTCATTACTTCGGGGGAGCAGTAATAACAAGGCTACCTTTGTCTGGTCTGTATATGGATGTAAACCTGGCTAATGTGGACTTTCACATGAAGTTGTTCGGGTGAAAGGCGAGGGCGGCGGCAGCCAACTATGCTGCGAAGGCAGCAGTAAAGCTTCTGCTTTTTCATATCTATAGCCCCAGCATGGCAAATATAGCCACCGGGCATCCGAATAGGATCTAAATAGCTTGATTGCGATGTTTCAGTTCCTTTACCATATGGTGAGCGCAGGACGTTGTCTTTGATGGTTGTTCCCTTGTGCTGAGTCATGCAAGCGCTTCTAAATATAGTTAACTAACCTTCTTAGGCAATTTTTTGCAAAGCTAAAACAACCACTGTGGTTGATGCGTTGACATGCATTTTGATCAGAGCGCATCAGGTTGAATTTGATGTTACAGTGGCTTTGTCGCAATTTGGTCCGATGGTATGCTAACCTATCAGAAAAACCCAAGAAATGTTTTAAAACTTAGGGACGTTAACGAGAGGTTAATGTATTAAGATCGGAGCAGCAAGAAGAATAAGTGCCTGAAGTATATAGAGAAGTCACTCATTGTCAAGAAATGAGATATGTGTTTCATGCAGTTTTAATGAGATTCAGTACGCATTCAGTATGCTGAGCACTTTTTGACAGATATTGAATTTTCCATCGCTCACCTCACCTTCGATGCCATGCCGGTAGATATAACTTTCCAAATCTACACCGTGGCTTTAATAACGTTCCAAACAGTCATTGTATAAGGAATTCGCCATATATAACCACATCCTTTGATATGACCGGGTACGAATGTTTGGGGATCGTGAAAATATTTAAATCCGTGGACACTTTGAGCTCCTTTGAATCGGAGTGCTTTGCTCCTTCATGCGCATTTCTGGCCAATCACTCAGGATAATCTTACTAAATCTCTGAGCACAGTCACATCTTAGTGTTTCATGAGATAGATTGCTAGAACTTATGAGTGGAAAAGACAGAGAATAATGACTTTTCAAATGTAATTAGTTTTCAGCAGATTATCTATGATAGAGCGTTTTCTATTGATTTATATAATCAGTAGTTCAATCTGTGACTGTTGACCTACTCTACCCCACCATAATATTAATATACATTCCTACGCAGCGTAGTTGCTAGTAGAAATACCACGGAGACCAACGATTACCCTTAAATAGATAAGAAGCATGTTCCCCGGTTGGCAAGCTAAACGGTTAAGTATCCGCCGATTGTATTCTTCCCATCTGAAAAAGAATGGGTTTTCTTGAACATGTAAAAATGTTCCAACTTTTGAGTTCTGGGCGGCAGCCGAACCCGCCAATATCAAGAACAATAGCTCTCTGGTTCTGCTATTGTTCTTAAAAATTTTCTTAAAGAACTCTGACTGTCCTCTTTTCTATTCCACCTTCTTTCATCAAACACTAATCTTTTCAGATACTTTCAACAAATCGGGAAACTGAGCGTGTTGCAGTTGGAGAAGCTGTATCGAGGTGGGCATTCTGCGGGGCTCTATAAACTATATACATCGTCCCGCTTATAATTGTTCATATGTCGACCAGCGCCGCTCTCTACGCAAGTCCCATCCAATTCTTCTCGGATCATACATAAGACCAATAACGCCAGAAACAAAAAAATCACACTGGAGTTGAAGAGACATCATATATTCAGCCTTGGTGGACCATTAAATGGCGCCCGCACCGATCCCGACAGAGTGGCAAAAACACTTAAAAAGAATACAAAGTCATGTAGGGCTCGGATATGTTCATGAAGTCGGTAATCTTCAAATCGTTATGTACATGTTCACGTCGGCTAATATACACACTCAAGCCTTCCGTCGTTGATCGTTTTAGCGTTTAGAAAGCGAAGAAAAAGGAGAAGTTAAACACGCGGATATCGATAATCAACCTCAACAGTGCAACCGGGGAATAAGTTTCTCGACTACTGGAACGGCGTCGATGAAGGCGCGGGAAAATTGAACGAATCGATAAACATCGGCGAAGTTGGACATCAACCCAAGAGAGGCCCGGACGCCACCGCCAGTGGTCATCCCCATATCGATCAAGAAGTCATCAAAACCCTTCATTTGGCCGGTGGTCTTCATTTCGGCCTCCCCATTGAACGCGCTGACAAGTGCTGGTTGTGTGAGGATGAAAGCAGCCTCTCCAGCACCAGGGTTGCAGAAACAGCCTGTCCGCAATGAAATATTAAGCGCAGAGGAAAGTTTCTCGACAATGCGCTCATCAACCACTTCACCCGTGGGTGTTATAAAGTTGAATGTAAAGGTTCCGCCGCGTCGATATGTGTTGGCCGGTCCGTAGAGCCTCACAACCTCACTACCATTGGAGTGACGGAGGGACAGCATCTCTTTGATCAACCAGTCCATCAGACACGCGACACGTTCGTGGACTGTCTCTATCCCGATGCTCGCCAAATGATTAAGGCCGATGTGTACCGCTGGGAGGTTTAGATAGTTAATGGTGCCATCCTCGAAGGCTGCATGCCCCTGCAAGAGCACATGCCCACCAGCCTGGACTGAGCTACCCCAGACAGTGCCGCCAGCAAACCATGGCTTTTCCAAACGTGCCAATGCTTCCCGACGAGCAATTAAGCAGCCAGCGCCGGTAGGATATCCAAACATCTTATAGAAGGAGATGGGCACAAAATCAGGGTGCCAGCGGGAGAGATCCAAGCGGTTGGTAGGGACAAAAGCAGCAGCGTCGAGCAAAACATCACATCCTTGTTCGTGGGCCTTGTCAATCCACTCGAGAGGATGTTGGGTACCAGAGAAGTTCGATTGGGCGGGATAAATAAACAGGCGGGGATTGCTAATTTTTTCATCCTTCGGCAGAAGGGCGTTCTCAATCACTGACTCGTCCGCGCGCATCTCAGGCAACGTCACCGGAATATATGAGACTGTGGCGCCCTTGGAGCGAGCATATTCACGAACCCCGTGCGCAGAGTTATGGTTGTCCCATAACAATATCACCTCGGCACCTGGAGAGAAGGGGTATGCTTCACCAACTAATTTCATGCCGGCGGATGCGTTAGGTGTGAAGATAACGATATATTCTTCAGGGGAAGCATTGAAGAAAGATAGCACCTGTGCTCGAGCTTGCTCATCCAGCTCTGTGATGGCACTAGAAGTTGGGTTGAGGGAATGTGGATTCCCAAAAATGTTGCGGGCAAGAAGCTCATGATGTGCCCGCAGCTGGGAGTCGGCATAGAGTCCTCCACCTGTATAGTCCAAATAAATGTGGCCCTCCTTGTCTAGGGTAGAATACTCTGTTGCACGCAGGCGGTCTATTTTGGAAGTGTCGTTGAATGTTGGGTTTGATTTTCGAAAGAGGCGTTCTGCCTTTTCCAGGGATTTTTGTTTGTTCTTCTTTATCAAGGTCCGAAACTTTTGCTTTCGCGGTAAGCTGGGTAGTGATGGTGAAGACTGAGAAGTGGAAGCAAGGAGTTTCTTCCCCCGCCTTCGGACCACATCTCCTAACTGATTCGTTTGAGTTGTAATGACGCTAGCACAACCACCCATATCCGGCGAAGCTACGAAGCTGGTGGTGAGGTATATATAAAAGCGGAGTGGGAAGGAGAGGAAAAAGAGTTAAAAACCTTTTTTGAAGAAAAAGAGAAAAAGGTCTGAGCTTCTATGTTCCCTCTGCGACACAAAATATATATATATATATTAGATATTATATGAGCGACAAACCGATGTGCTTCTAACACGCAGCGTCGATAATTCTCAGACCAAAGTACCAAAAACTCCGACAGCACCCTGGGTCTATATATCCCTCTTTATACCGGCCACAGCCAACAGACACCATACCAGGGAACTCAGACGCCAGCATGATTGTCATGCACATCTGTCCAACCTGTCCTCACAGACAGGGGAGTCGTTGGCGGGACTAGATCGGGTAATTCCCAGATTAACTCAACAAAGCTTGCCTTGACATGCTAGCAACCCATAAAATACGCCCCTCCTATGCACACCGCAGGTTTATTGACTATTAATTGGATTCGTTGCTGGCATAGGTGGTGCGGCGCTCTCCATCCCGCATTGCCGCAGTTGCATCATTCCGTGTCCTCCACCCTCCTCATCCCCTTGCACACACCCCATCAGCAGAGGGGTAATGTGGGAATCGTCGTTTGCGTGAGAAAATGCCGCCCGCCAATGAGTTGTGTGTTAAGCGACTCGAAACCCTTGCCCTCTTATGCGCCGCTACAATCCTGGTATACCGCTACCGGGCAGGTGCGGCCTATGGCTCTTTTTGGGGGACTTTGGCCAGTTCACCCTTGTACTTGGCCAGATCCACAAACCAGGACAGACAAAATAATTGCTACGAAAAGTAATGCCGAGCCCACCATCCCCCAAGGGAGATGTGCATTAGACCTGAAGATGGAAGGATGTCCGTTGAGTGATTTGGACCAAGGTTACCAAGCTAGCTTATGTTAGTGACCAAACTAACTGTGGTGGTTCGCGTCGGAAGGACCTGCCAAGAAGATGCAACACTGATACGATACTCCTCCGCTAGAAAGAGGTCCAATTTCCGTTTTGATAGCGGGCACTGGGTTGACGAAGTTGGATAGAAGCCAAAGGAGTCTGCCAGGAAACAAAAGCCACGGATGTGAGGCTAATTTGTTTCATCTGAAATGTGCAGCTTTCTTTCTGTAGTCAGAAATTGACTTTCCGTCACCGGACTCTGGGTTGCTCTAATATCTCTCTAATCTGCTGGCTCCGGTCCCATAAGGGTCGATCGGTGTTCGGTAAATACTAGACAACACTCATGGCATGGCATGAACTAAGTGATCCCGATGTGGGATCCCAGTCATGAGGTCAAAGCTGGGAGGATTAAAATGCAAAGGCTGCATCGAGCTCCAGGATATGGAGAGGCGGTGTTGAGCTATGGTGATCTCAGATCGGGCCAGACTATACGGATACTTTTTTTTTTAACCTCCCGCTAACTATGACGGCAGCTATCCGAGCCTCTCTCCACGTATATCTCCAAAAGCCAAAAGCGAAATGTGCTGAGTCCTGTACATGTACATGTACAAAAAATGAGCGGAGTAGAGAACGTGAGCTAGCTAGCAATTGTCATCATTGGTTCATTGGTTCATTGGCCCATTGACTTTTTCCCCCCTCAAAGCTACATGTAACCACGCAGACCCAATAATGAAGGAATCGAGATTTTCCTGCGTCGTATCTCAATCCACCTGCAGATCATCTCTGACGAAAACCTGGGTGTGTCGTCAGCCACTCGCGCCATGACCGTTGTGGTCCTGCATCTCCCATCCCCAAGAAATCATGTTTGACAGGAGGAATAATATATTTTTGCATGATCCAGAGGGAGCACGGAGTGCACGATCCAGCGCATCGCATCGTGCACATGATTGCATCGGGGGGTTGTTGGGTTTCGTTCCTCTCTTATTTACCCTGCGTCCATGTCCTGGTTCTTGGTTTCACTATATCGTCCCAGGCTGTTGTGCGACTGTGAACCATTGTTTCCGGCCCCCCCGCCGAGTTCTCTTTATCCACGCTACAGAAAGCTGATAAAGAAAAAGGAGATTTGACCCCCGGTTTGTTTTTGCTTAAATTTCCGTTCTGCTTAAAAGGGTCGACGCGGTCCGCAAATGTCGACGAGCATAGTGGGTTCCTTTTTTGGTTCTTGTTGTGTGAAAAGTCTGTTCTATTGAAATACGTTTGAGAACATTTTTCTCAATCATCTTTAATCAACTCCGGCACAGTGCATAAGACTTTCTACTTCAATAAGCCCCATGGCGTGTTATTTGCTTATCCATCCATTTACTGATATTTCTGTTCGAGTTATCACTTTTGTGACATTTATCATCGATCTGTGCCTCCAAAGATCGTGAAGTTGCCTAGCTTGGCTCTGAATTGAAGCTGAATTTTTCCACGATCAGTCCTCTTTCTTTTCATGATCCCATCCTAACTGGTTGGCTACATAGGTAAGTCGATTGCTGCGTTCGCAGGTTTAATACCACCACAGAACAACTTAATTCCCGAACAACGCACGTCCCTGTTTTATTTTATTTTTAACTTTTTGTCCGTCGCTGAATAAAGATGCATAAATAGGAGAATTAATTAAAGAGAAGGGCAAAAATTGATGTATCAGATGCGGCAAAGGTAGGTCAGTTGGGGTGACGAAGGCGGAGCTTATAAGGGGTATCTGTAAATGTGATGAACAGATTCATATTCCTATAACATATTTCGTCAGTAGGAGACACGAGAGCGGCACGAGAGCATCAAGAATAGTCTGGTTCTGAAACCTGGAGCGGGAATTCTCAAAGAAAAGGGGGACAAAAATAAAATTAAGAGGGCTCTACATAAAAAGATGAAAGAATCCATAAAGAAAAACTTTGTGGGTTCTGCTGTGATCCCGATTGAGCGGGAAACTATGTAACGTCATCTCGATCAAAAAAGGAGAGCCCTTTGTTCAAATGACAGACCGACCATCGATAGACTTTTTCTTGCTATGGATATAAGAGCTCATTAAAGGAATCGATGTGCACCCCCAGTCAACTGCTGCGTGCCCTCCTGCTCTGGTGGACTGTTCTTTCTTTATTTTACCTCCCTCCCAAAAAATGGCAACAATACCGATTCCGATCGTCCTCATTTATTGAACCATTTTCGGCCACTTTCATTATTAAGGACCAAAAAATATGGTTCTACTTGTTGATGACTCCTTTCTGCCGTGTTAAAGAGTTTCATAGTGACCAAAAAATGGTAAATGTCACCTGAAAGTCTCATAGAAAAAACCGTTTCGAGTCGCACAGGTCATACACGGTTATTGATGTGTGACTAGGAGGCTTTGCGTTTGACATGCTACCGTGTTAGATTACATCGGACACCCGTTCACGAGGATTTATTTAAAACTTTCAATTTGAGCTTGATGAACACAACACTGACATTGTGCGCTGCTGGTGGCAGGGAATGTTAGCGGAAGGGGCGAGATAAGCGAATGAACGAATAAAAAGACACAAAATCTCAGAACAAGAGCCAAAAACTGATCCAGGCGGAAGGAAATCGGGATTTGGTTTTGGAGTTCGATCCTTGTCGAACAAGCTATCCCATGCTCACAGGTGCGTTCGCTCATGGATGAGAGGCTTACGAGCAGGCAAACGGAGGGAAATCTGTAATAATGAGATGAGAGTGATATCACTGGTATGGAGCTTGCTGAGCGAGGACCCGCTCTTTTCCCTCTAGCACCGCACATTGTAGCTGAGAATTGTTTGGAACCCTGGAGAGCTGTGAGGTGTGGTATTGTGTCGGCTATCCTGTGAGGCTGTGAGCTCTTGAAATTGAACCAATTGGGGCAAGTGGTAGGTTGGGCATCGCGAGCGCTGCGCACACACCACACACAAAATACATCGTTTGACATTTGTGGGCGGCTCTCAATCGGCGGATTCGCCATATCTCATTTGTTCAGCCAATGAGAAGACTGTAACTCCGCAGTAAGATTTTATTTGTCAGATATTAGGATAGGTGGGAAAATGGAGGGTGCAGTTGATCTTCACAGTGTTTTTCTCAGCCCAACCACATCCATGGATTTTCCTTGAGTATGGTGACCACGTGATAGCCCTGGCCCCGGCTGGCCTAGAGCCAAGAGTTCCCCGCTTGAGCCAAGCAGCCCTCGCAAACCATGAGGGGAATGGATCGTATCGGGCCAGGCGGGCCGTGAGCAATCATAGTCTAGACGCCCGCACTGGAAGCTTGCAGCTGCCGGCTGCCTCCGCCTGGCTTGCGCCTCAGACATGGTAGGGTAGGATGATTCACAGTACCCGAGAAGAATGGGCGCGGCGCTTACGTCGAATTGAGGCAAACACATGTTGGCAGGGGGAGTGAGTGCAGTAGTAGAGTACTCCGTAGTCTGCTGGGGGTAACTAATGCGCTGGCTGAGCGACCCACGAGTCCTTGGGCCCTGACTAGGGCTGTTCGATAATTGCCTTTTTGTCTCAGCCGTCGGAAATCTGGATAATCCGTGCCGAGACAAATGCGTCCTGGAAAGTCACATGATCAAATTCTAGATCATTATATAAGCAGAGTCTCGGCACAGCAACACCATCCTATATTTGGTTTAGTGGTATCAATACTAACTACCAGATACAGCCTTGATACGCGCATGGGGCAAATTGGGAGGAGTTCCCCACACGGTCGCGGTTATGAGCTGCTGCTGTATGTATGGGTATTGTTCGGCAAGATCGAAACGGCATCTCCAACCCCCCCGTTGCCATGTTTACTTATTATTGATTCCTCTGAGGATAGCTAGTCCATTTGGATTCAGTCTCCTGATGCGGAGAACGGTATCTCGGGTACAGATTGATATGGTTAATTCAACCGAAAGTGCCGGACATAGGGGAGGAAAGGCGACACTCCACGCTTGCTTTAGTCTTCGAGCCGACAAGCACCACCCACCGCTGCCACTTCTGCCGAGGCATCTCCAACTTTCGCCATCTACTCTCTATTAGCAGCTGAAATAAATATCCGCGCCCTTGCTTCTCTCCTTCGTCCTTCTCTATTCCGTACCTAACTCCAGAAATCCTCTGTACGATCCTTGTATATTTTTTATTTTATCCATAAAACTTACTTGGTTCTCTCAAACTCCCTCCCCGAATCAGACAAAATGGCTTCTCCTCGTGAGTCCCCGAAAAGCACATGCTTCGGCTTTCCGCCGAAAATCAAGTCCCAAACATGGTACGAAAGCGACGTTTTTGCTAATTTTGCTGTTTTTTGAATTTGCTGTAGAACAACTCCGCACGACGGCCACCGATCTTCTAGGGATCAAGCACCCTGTCCTTTTGGCTGGTATGAACGTTGCTGCCGGCCCTAAACTCGCTGCTGCCGTTACAAATGCTGGAGGTCTCGGTGTTATCGGAGGCGTTGGCTACACTCCGGATATGTTGCGGGAGCAGATCGCTGAGCTGAAGAGTTACTTGCATGATAAGAACGCTCCTTTCGGTGTTGATCTCTTGCTTCCTCAGGTTGGAGGAAATGCGCGCAAGACGAAGTATGTAATTCCCATGTGTTTCAGCCTCACGTGGCCCCCGGGACACATACACATACTAAACATAACTAACACAAGCAACCCAAATATAGCTATGATTACACCAAGGGCAAGCTCGATGAGCTGATCGATATCATCATCGAGAGCGGCACGCGCCTCTTTGTGTGCGCCATCGGCGTCCCACCAAAGGCGGTTGTCGAGAAGCTCCACGCCAATGGAATTCTCTACATGAACATGATTGGCCATCCCAAGCACGTCCAGAAGGCCATCGACGTTGGTGCGGACTTGATTTGCGCCCAGGGTGGTGAGGGTGGTGGCCACACCGGAGACGTCCCCACTTCCATCCTTATTCCCACCGTTTCCAAGCTGTGCGCCCAACACATTAGCCCCTTCACCAAGAAACCAGTACAGTGCATTGCTGCCGGTGGTATCTTCAACGGCCAGTCTGTTGCCTCAGCTCTGATGTTGGGCGCTTCCGCCGTCTGGGTTGGTACCCGTTTCATCCTTGCAGATGAGGCTGGTGCTCCCGAGCCTCACCAGGAGGCCGTCCGCACGTCTGGCTTTGATGATAATATCCGCACCGTCATTTTCACCGTATGCTCTTCCCCCCGGCTAAGCCTGATCCTAGCCGTGCCTTTCTTTTCCCTGGTGTATTTTTGCACAGTAACATTTTCCCAGCTTCCAAAATTGCTAATACTTTCTATCTACAGGGCCGACCCCTCCGCGTCCGCAACAACGCCTATATCCAAAACTGGGAAGAGAACCGCGCTGAGGAAATTAAGGAGCTTACTAGCAAGGGCATCATCCCTGTCGAGCACGACTTTGAGAACCTCCCTGACGATGCTGATGATGACATGATTGAGAATGCCCGCCCCTACCTGATGGGTAAGGTTGCTGCTGTGGTCAACGAGAAGAAGCCCGCCAAGGCTATTGTCGACGAACTTGTCGGGGATGCTGTAAAATGGCTGCAAAAGGGAAATACGATGATTGCCAAGCTGTAGATATCCCCGTTGTTTTTTAACTTTGCCCTGCTTCTTTGTTAATATACTCGTATTGGTTTTCCTATTTTTTATTTTTATTTTACCTGCTTTCCGATTTCCATTTCTATGTAAAAGATTTGGTTCTATCATGAAGAAAAACTCTCGATGGATGGCGGCGGGACTTTCCAACTTTTCGCAGTGTTCAGATCCACGAATCATGAGAATTGAGGCTTTAGAAGTCCTGTCCTATCCTGTGGCAATCCGGTGACTAGTTATGTATTATTTTTGATATCAAAGACTACTGGATCTACGTTTTCCGCTGGCTATTACACTGCAATGCAGTGACCTCCTTGATTTTTTGTCACTACCCGAGTGCCCGTCGTATTTTCTCTACCATCCACTCCGTACAGTATGTATGTACATGTACATACATGTACTTCTATGTCTTTCCTATTGTCTGATGAAGATCATCTGAGCGCCTGAGATCTGAATTTACACCCACGGTGGCACATTGCCCTTAATTCCTCATGTTACTATTAAATGACATATATCGATAGGCAGTGCTACTTTTATATCTGCTCCCCCTTTCTCTATATTTAGGCTCGCATTTTTTGCTCTCTGACTTTCGATCATATCAAAAACACACCCTGACTATGCCAAACGCAACTGCTTCATCTTCATTTCCTTCCTTACCACTTTGATGCGTTCAATTATTTTAGATCCCCAACTACAGACCCCCGCCCCAGCTTCAGCAGTCTAAGGCGACCAATTCCCATCCCTCAACAAAGACATACATTTACTAAATCATCACCAGCAAGGACCAAAAAAGTAGACCTCCCTCCTCCTCCCAAATTCCCTCAAAAGCATAACACTTAGATCATCACTGGCTGGAGGCGTCAAGGGAGCTAACACAGCCCCTACTTCCATATACTTCCTCAACGATGTACATAGGTTGGGTACCAATACCACCACCTTCATCCTTTCTTTCAATTCCAGCTGTGCAATTGACCCACGGCATAGTTCGTTCTGCAACCCTCGGCTTCTGCATTGTTGACAAGGGGTGGTGGGACCAAAACGGTATCCTCTTATGGTGAAGCATCGTTTTGTGAATTGCGTTTATAGGAAGTATATTCCGGCCCTATGGATGGGGGTTGGGGACGGAATGTCGCGTCATACGGGCCATCAAGCAGGCCAGAACAAGATTTATGCATCAAAAACGGCGACTACCGGGTGTACAGAGAAGTATAATTACTACGTTATGCGTTGTGAAACCAGTGGGGGACAGAAGATATAAATTTCCGTATAATCTTTTAACATCACATCTGCTTCCCCCTCTTTCTAACCTTGTTGATCGTTGGAAGAAGCCCCTGGGGGTAAGGAGAGAAGCAAAATCCAATATATAATAAGGTCAGGTTGTTCAATAAAAGAATTAATTGCTAAATACAATCCGGCACGTCGCCCAGTGAGCAACAAAAAAGTGCCAGATAATAAGAGTTCAAGGGTCTTGAGAGAAGCTGGATTCTTGAAGTACTTCCAACGTCGTACATGTACATGGCCATGTACCAACCGTACGCATAAGAATCTGCGGGTAGATGCATGTAGCTTTCAGATTCATCTGATATAGAACCAGATACTACTACGACCGCCTTTCACTGGCCATGAGCCAACATTCTATTTGAGACCTGAGCTCCGATTGAGATTGTCCAGGATCTTCTCAGGCCAGTCCCATGGTGAGTAGTGGAGCCCCGGGGGAAGGGACGCAATGTATCTGATTATGACCTGTATCCTAAAGACGCGTTGTTTTAATTAAAAATAAAAATAAAAATAAAAAAAAAATTGAATGGCATTCCTTATCTGGCGAGGTAAGCCGTGCGGTCATGAACAGGAGTAGTTCAAGATCAAGCAATGACGAAAGGTGGTAGGAAGTCATTGATTGGCCGTTCAATTTTCGATTTTGCCGTCCTTAACAGTCAGATGGGAGGTTTTCGTTCCTTCAGAGTCTATCCTCGACAAGAAGTTGACATTCGCGCTTGATAAATCCTGTATCTTGTCTGCTTTCGGGGGCCAATTTTATTTCTCAAGACTACCCAAGTTCTGATGTTGAGGGAAACTTGGATATAGGACCGAGAAGGACTACCCTCAACTGCGGAATGTGCTTCTTCAATTGGACGGTACTTCCTGTATTATATATACCCATCATCATGAAGCTTCAGCATCGCCTTTTTTTAATTTTTTAATTTTTCTCCCTTGTGCTCCTTGGTATCGCTGCACAAAGCGCCGCAGCAGTGCAAAGTCCAATATATGGATGGCCCGTCATGATGAAAATATGCTGATTGGGTGTCCATCAGGAGCCAGAACGACCTACTGAATGTCATTCATGCGCTAAGTAAAGATTCTAGGGGGTTCACCGATGTTGGTGTAGACAGCATCGTGCGATCCCTTGACGATGAAGGAAAGGTTATATATTTCGCGAGATTGATCAACCCCCAATTTCCGGGTGGTTGCGGGCTGATGTAATGTATGTACATGTACCTATTAAAAGAAGGTAAAGCAGGACCAGGATCGAAGGGCATTCCATTTTGCTTTATGATTTCAATTATGTATCGAATTCACATATACCTGGTTAGATCATGCTCGTGATACTGAGCCACATTACCAAGATTGAGAGGCCTCGATTCCATTTCACTGACTTGTAGTGGTTTCTTTTTCGAAACCACATCATATGAGGGGAGAAAAATGGCCCCTTAGGTAAGGGGTAGTGCCCCATGTATCAAACGAACGAGAAGGTAATAAACTCCTGAAAGACTCGTGAGCAGAGAACAGACTAATGGTTGAATACTATTTCATGCGTCAAAAGGAAATGCTAAAGCATCCATTTTCAGCTAGTTTACAAATTAAAAATAAAAGCCAGGGAGAGGGCGAATAACTATGAATCATTAATAGATGATGAACGATTTTTAAGGGAATCTCACATAAAACCAAACCGGGTTAAATAGACTGCACTGCATCCGAATGAACCCCGCCGAATGAACTAAGTGGAAGTCATCATTTCTCTCCTATGGAAATGTATACATATAGTTACATTTATATTTTAGCCGGAGAGACCTCTTTTCTCGCTTTCTGAGAAGAAGATAATCATGCGCCAGAGTTTCTTAACTAGAATCTCCGCCTCCTCGTCCAGAGCCTGAATGGTAAAATCATAATCATTAGTATTGCAAGACATGATGTAACAAGATGACAATCGTGTGAAACTCGGTAAATAGAGGGGCTTGAAAAGCAAAAGAGGGGATTAGGAAAAGGACGGGGTCTCACCTCTTCCAACAGCTCGACTAACTCCTGAGGATGTCCCCGTTTCCGGATATGTTCCTCAACCACGTCGACCAGCATCTGCTCTTGGACACCAAGATACTCCATAATTTTCTTCTCGACGAATGGCTTGAGCTGTTCGCCCCGCACAGACTCATCCACAAACTCCCAGTTAACCTCCCAGTTCCAAAGGCCTTCTTTGTCCGATGGAATATCTGCAGCAAGTTGTCTTGCCGCCTGTGCGCGCTCTTCGTCCGTAAGACCGGCCGACTCAGCCGCAGTGTCAAACTTAATAGAAGTAAGTGGACGCCTCGTGGCGGCTCCCGTGTCCTCCTCATCTTCAAGAAGACCCTCGACTTCCGCCACTGTTCTCCGCGCCGTAGCCTGGGCTCTCTGTGCTGCTGCACCCAGAGACAATTTAAAGCGTTGTGGCTCTCTTGGTGCTTGGGTCCGGGACTCCAACTCCTCAGCTTGCCGGGCAAGGAAGTCGTCCGCCATGCCGCGAGCTTGTTCTCGTTGTTGTTGAGTCCGGGCATTCTCGCGTTCCTCTGCAGCACGATCGGCTTCATCCATGTTGATCTCTCTGTTTCTAAATGCCGCCCTATTCCGTATCCAGACTCCACGGTCAGCGTAGTACTCCTCGAGTTTTCGGCTAGCTTCGACGTCGTCGTTCCATTCTCGCAGGCGTTTAGCCATGATTTGCTTTTCCTCCTGTAGTCGGATATCTTCTTCCTTGTCCCGATTTTTTTCTCGCTCCACTGCTGCTGTTCTGCTCCGCTCCCGATTCAGCCATCTCCTTTCTTGATCTAAGTACTGCTTCTCCGCTTCAATGGCTTTCTTATCCTTCCGCCTTCTTTCAAGCTCTTCATCGCTTGCGTCGGTATCCTCGTCTTCATTAGCACCATTTATCCCGCTTCCGTTCACGAACGACACCCCCTTCTGGTAGTCCCTTGGGATCTGATGGCCAAACCCCTTTGGAGCCGAAGGAGCATTTGGAACACCCCTGTCCCTCGGCCCCAGAGGGATGCCATTTGCACCTCCAGCAGGGCCACTTGGTGCCGTTGGGGGCGGTGAAGCTAATCTGCTTGGTCTAGATCCACTGGCTCTAGCTCGCTCTAGAGATTCGAGTTCTTCTTCTCTCTTCAGTCTTTCAAGGTCGCGGCGATTGCTTCTTTCACGGAACGCGGCAATTTCTTTTGCGACAGTTTCTCTCATTTCCGCAGGAATATCTGACAACTCATCCTCAACGTTAATAGGAATCGTAACAACTTCAGCAGGGCTCCCGTCTTTCTGTCCATCTGCATCTTTCATTGGGGTATCGCCCTCGCCGTCCACCACTTTTGAAGGCTCATCCGCTTTAGCAGGGGCTGGCGGGCTGGCAAGCTCGGAGAGGACTTTGGCCAGAGCCGCTTTAGCCCCATCTAACCGTGCTTGCTCAGCTTCAGGGTCTCGCTGGGTAGTCGACTCAAATTGTTCGAGGTACTTGAGAGAGCTATCATCGAAAACCACCTATTATCAGTTAGCACACTGTAATGTCAATACAAGTAGTATCAAATGCATACCAGTAGCTTGCTCTTCTCAACCTCGTCCCCGTCCTCCCCGTCCTCTTTCACTGGAGTCGGTTTTTTCACAGGTACTTCAATATCCTTTAGCACTTCTACTGCCGTGCTTAAACTCTCAGGGTCCTCATACTCTGCAAAACCAAACGTGCATGGCTTCTCATCCGCATCCGTAGCACGGATCCAACGCTTCAAATTCCCCGTAGTTCGAAGTATCCGTTCTATATCTTCATCGCTGCTGACTCCCTCCGTTATGCCACCAACAAATATAGTCCGCACAACCTCTTCTTTCGTAGGCGGTTGTAGTTGTAACATCGCGTCTCGTAAATTCTGGCGCTGCGATTCCAACGAATGATGGCCCTGGCCACCACGTCTCCCACCAGTCTCTCCTCCACGTTCCCGGCCGCTTTCCATAGGAGTAGCTGATTTCGATGCGCCAGAGGTGCCAAGGCGGATAACAGGAGCGGAGAAGTTAATATTGGGCATATTTGCGGGGGGTTGAAAGTTCGGAGGGAATCCACCTGGTCGGCCAGGTTGCTGGGTATTCGATTGTTGCATGGCAGGTGGAGGGCCAGTCCCAGGGGCTGACAATCCGGGAGGAGGTGCTAGATTTAATATCAGTATATATGTGCGGTATAAGGGGGCGGTGTTATCATACGCATGCCGGGGGGGCCTCCTGGGAATGCAGTAAACTCCGGTGGTCTACCGAAAGGGGTTTGTGCTGAAAATAAAAAAGTTATTAGCATCGCTTGGAATCTGTGAAGCTCCAAAAAGAGAAATCAGCGTGCCAGGAAAAGACTTACATTGGTATGGGTTGTACATTTTGTGCTGAAGTGGTTTGCAGCGCCGACTGATAGCTTCTCAAGGGCGCAAGTCAAGTCTAAAAAGACGCTGCGATTCTGAGGGTTGGATATGCAGTAAAAATAGCTTTGGGAAACCGCAAAGGCTACACAGAAAGAGTCAATAGAGGTTTCAGGTAGGTCGACAGCAATGTACAGTACAGAGATGCGTGATCCCCTTGGTGAAGCGTTGATTTCATTCTTCTTCGGTTGTTGCTTTCTTTTTTTCCAAGGTTCTCGTTGGCCTGGGCTGGGATTCGCATCACGTGATCATGGAGTATCGCCAGAACGCAACCGGCAACGTCGAGCTTGTTCCATTGCTTCATATCAACCTTATGGAATAGCTTGCTCTGCTGTTAATCTGGATTTGTGAAATAATATATTAACCCATTGATCGACTTACTACTTTCTAAAAAGTGGCTCTAGTAGCCTTCTGTTTGAGTCAAGAACACCCAGGTTTCTGCGGTGGCGATCGCATATTTCTTATTCTCCATATGGGGTACAGAGTATTTAAATGCTCGAAACAAAACGCTCATTCTACAAGTTGGGCCGAACATGTGGACAGTCCTTACATAGATTAACACCTACTTCGACGGAAATCCAACCTCCCTCCCAAGTCTGTGGTTAGGCACGGAATCATTGCGAAGGGACGAACATTTCCACCAGCATGGACAAGACCCTGTGATGAACAAGAATAGTGGTATGTCTTTTAGAATTGATCGAAATATATGAATTATCTGTTGTCGGCCAACCCAGATCGCAGTATATCTAGCCAACTGTGTACCGACGACAATGAATGAACAACCAATGTCTACTGTTCACATTTCATTTTGATATCTTCGTCTTGAACACGAACGCCTATCTAGGCTATATACACTTGCTGGCCTCGCTGGGGCAACGTGGACTCTGATAATTTCTCGAGCACTACTTTGACAATCGGATTTTTCCAAGACGATGGTAACTACGGACGAATAACGGGTCACGGCGGCCTTCAGTGGTATTTATAAAAGGCTTGTCTACTTATTCCGAGCCGTACTGTCAATGGCGAAAGAGAAATATCCGAAATTTCGATTGCAGGCCGCTCATATGTTTCCGGCCAAAGCGCTAAATTTGAGGTTCGAAACACTGAGCCGTTTGCAAACAAATGAAGCCCGATTTCTGCTGGGAAACGCTAGTCAAGGCATTAATATTCCAAGCTCACTTGAGGCAAATTTCACGCTGACCAACGATGCAACGAACGTCAATCTGACAACCCGTGGACGGTTACTCTGTATTATTACGCGGATATCCCACATGGACAGCACATAGGGATTAAATTGTGGACAAAACCTGAATGGAATGCCACCCTGCTCCAAAAAATGAAGGCTCTCAAAGCCAAGCATGTTATGCGCTAATCTGGTCAGTGCGATCGGGCCCCATCCCATCAACTGATCTGCCTGAGCAGCGTACGCCATGAAGGTTCCATTCCCATTTTCGGTCAGCCAATCGAATCCCAGCGCTATAACGACATCATCCTGTAGGGATAAGACACGCCGCCGCCCTTTTTATGTGGTGAGATTACCACGAGCTGACCTGATTGGTTTATTGTCAACATTATGTCTCTCCTCTGCGCCGGGAAATTGCATCCGTTGCCCTAAGGGTTAATTGGGCGCGAGCACCCCCAGTTTGAGTCGGAAAATTCATCAGCTGGTTTGCTCCAGGGCAACCACAGCCAGACTTATCGCATAAAGTCCATACATGTCTAACTTCTGGATTCGAGTAGGTCTCTAGAATCTATTATTGATCCTGAGTTCGCTCTCGCGGCATGGCAACCCTCATTGGGTCGAAGCATCTAGCTATCATATTTTCCGTAGGATTTCAATAAGAAGCCTTTGCCATCGTGACCCGCTAGGGGCCCGACCCAACTGCCAGCAATATCCCCACCATGTCATCCCGCACTCAAGAGCTTAGCAGGAAACCACAAAATTAACTATGAAAATTATTAAGTTCAGCCCAAGGCGCGAAGGGACGTGAGCCTTCACGAATCCCTGCCTGTGGGCCTGTCAGCTGTCAGATTAGTTACACCCTTCCCTGGGTGTTGTTCCGCGCCATTCCATGCAAAGACTGGGTAAAAAAGTCTTTTATATTGGAGAGGCTCGCACTTGTTTCCCTTGTTCCATTTACCTCCTCTCCGCCCATTACTTTCCATACAGTTTCCATCCTGTACCGCTCGTTTTTGTCTTCCATCATAGGATATATTTATATCCAGTCCTTCGTTAAAGCATCAATTGTAAATAATTATTGACTCCCTTCAAGGGCCGGAGAGAAACGCTATATTAGTCATTTTGTCGTTCAACACAACTGACAATGCGCGCTCAATTTTTCGCCGCTGCCGCTTTGCTTGCGACCAGCGCTGTCGCTACCAACACATGGACTCGCATCGCTTCTCCTGTTGATAACCTCAACGCCCTAAGAGTCCGCCAAAGTGGAGGATCCTTTGAGCCTGAAGGGCGCAAGGGTTCTGGCGACACCTGCAAAGAAGCATTTGGAGACGGCTATCTTCAGTGTGGAACAAGCCAATCTTGCTTTAACCCCAATCTTGGACACTCCTGCTGCGATGGATGCATGTCATCTCTCACTACGAAGTACATATCGCCAGCGAAAATATCAGCTAACCTGTTCTGCCCAGATGTCTGCCCAAGTGGTTCCAGCTGCCTCACTAACGGCCGCTGCTGCCCAGATGTAAGTTTGCTCGTTTCAGCGCATTCACTCACGCCGCAATCAGAAAAAAAATATGCCCATGAAAATTATCTAATTAACGTGTCTTCTTTAGAGCGAAGGGCCCGAAGCCTGTCTTGGGAAATTGACTAAGAGTAATCTGCCCACGGACATTCCCCCTGCAACTCCAACCGAGTATCCCACCGAGACTCCCACCGAGACTCCCACCGAGACTCCCACCGAGTATCCCACTGAGACTCCTACCGAGACTCCCACCGAGTATCCCACTGAGACTCCTACCGAGACTCCCACCGAGTATCCCACTGAGACTCCTACCGAGACTCCCACCGAGTATCCCACCGAGACTCCCCCTGACGACCACTGCGATGCTCCCACCGACTATCCCACCGAGACTCCCACCGACCTTCCCACCGAGACTGACACCCCGCCATACCCAACTCTCTCTCAACCTGAACCTAGCTACACTGCTCATCCAACTGGCGGGAGCCCAAATATGCCATCCGAGACTCCACCGTACGATGGCGGTGCTAATTCGCTCAAGGTAGCCACTGGCGCCGCCGCTGTGCTGGGATTCCTCAGTTTCATGCAAAATGCGTTGTAAACCACTAGCATCATATGAGTACATGTCCTGTTCCCCTGATACATGGTCAATAATCAGGGCTGTGCTGTTTTTGAATATGTACCGAGAGGTTATTTCCCGCTGAAGTAAAGTTCCTTGAACTTTATATATGATGATTCATGTACCTCTCTCGCTCCAGGCATTTCGTTTGCATGAATATTCTTGACTGTGCTGGATTCTGTCACTCCTTTCGATTCTAGCTTACATATAGTTTAGCCGCTGCGGGCTCACCAGTGGGAAGTTGTTATATTATATTTTTAAATACTACTTGAATATCTGAATAGCTATATTTTAGCGCACACCGTTCATAGAACCTATGATATCACAAAGCTCACGGGTTATAAAAAAAGCATGTCGGGCCGAAAACCCGCGCAAGCAGCAAGCTAGCACCCAAGTGATAAATAGCCCCACAAGCAAAAAGGTCAGGCCTTTAGAAGTCTCGTTCAAACGAACGACAAAGCTGCATTAAACTCACCTTAGGAAAGGGGTCTTCACATCACCTTCGAATCTCGGATCAAACGCGAGCATCATCCACAAGAGTTGATTTGCTCACGGTGGAAACCCGTTCTCCAGTCATTCGTTGGGGCTGAGGGACCTGCAGGGATGGGAGGGGGAAAAAAAGGCTCCCTCCTGTAGGTTCGCTCCAGACTGAGCCCCCTTCTAATCCGGTGGTCAATGTAACTACAAAGCATTTGCCCTGCCACAGGCCGATCGTGTGTGGATGGAACGATGACGTGCCCTCCGCCCCCCCCCGCCCCTCCCAAAGCGGCTTTTCGGCTTCAAGTTCTCCTCAAGCTCTTTTGCCCCAGTAGCCTACAAGATCTATCAATACAACCTTCAACTATCCTACATCAGGTGTTGGCACAGGGTCTGCTTACATAACGAGGTCGGGTGGGGGGCACTTCTTGGTATGTCGACAGATTTTCCTCAACTGATATTTGACAGGCAGACTAGATTAAATCGATCAAACACAGGAGAAAATAAATAAGAGACCCAACGTCCGTTTGGTATTTCAGTCATTGGTTATGAAATTGTTACGAAGATGAATGAACATCACTTTGTCACCCAGAGGCGACAGCAATGAAAAGAAAAAGGAAAAAGGAATAACATTCAAGAGTTGAAGCGAGAAACAAACTGCTAAAGGAATGGAGATCAAATGATAAGAAAAACTACTTCCCAAGTCCACCGAGGAAATTAACCCCTGAGGCGCGCTCTGCCATCACAACAGCAATACCCGATCCAACAATAAGCTCAAAGGAAATCAGGTCCTTCGCAGCCTCAAATATCGTAAACGACCCCATTCTACGATCATCCCGCCGTTGCTTCCACGCAGCCAGAAGCGTGTTCCCATCTTGCGTCTCCAGCTTCAAATTCCCCCTGCACCGCGGCGCCGTATCATCCAATCGACCCAGGATATCCATGGAGCCTTTCCACATAAACTGTGTCGGGTTCGGAGAATTTGGCGCTGATTTAGCGGGTAACTCTTCCTCCATCTTATAATGCCTGGTCCACCCGCTGCGGCTAATTGTCCATCTCTGCGGTGGCAGCCCTGCATTGCCATTCTCGACAAGATCAAGACGAGCCTTCATTCCAGTGAATCCCTGCCATCCCCTGGGGCAAAAATTCACAATCCGACCTGTAGCTTTCTCTGCGACGCCTGTGTTCGATACTGGATACATACTAAATTGCGGCGGGAGCACGGATAGGATATCTTCCCAGTGCATATCCGTCGTGATGAAGGTGGGGAAGTAGGCGCCGTTGGTTACATTGTGGATCGTGAGCTGGAGGTTTTGCGGCAGGATCAGGCCAAGCGCACTAGATTTCTCGACTTGGAATTTGAGGTATGCTGCTGGCTTGTTGTTGGCTATCTCGATGTTGCCTGAGGCGCCGTTTGGGTCTACGGAGACTTCCTTCTGCGCGCTGTCTGGGTGGTTGTTGTGGAAGACTTCCTTTTGAGTGCTGTCAGGGACAACTCCGGTTTTGCTTGAGGATGACAGCTCTTTGTTGCTCTGATGGTTTGCATGGCGATTGTAAACCTCCTTCTGTGTAGCTGGAGGTACCACTTCGATGTTACTTGAGGCACCGGGGGTCTTGCCCTTTGCGTCTGTTTGGGAAGGGGATATAGATCCCATGACTTTTTTATCAAAAAATACAAAATAAAAATAAAAATAAAAACAACCAAACAATTCGTAGATTCACAGAATTATAACCCGACCTTTAAGCTTATTATACTATCTTCTTTTTTCCTCTCTTTTTTTTGGACGAAGCGGACTTGTCTCAGGCTGTCCACTAACCGTGCCAAGCGCAACTCACTACCATTAGTGAGTGCACCCCAGGATACGCGTATCGAGACACATAATTCCCACAACTCCCGGGTTAATTTAATCGAGTTGGCTTCTTGTTTTCATTCCCCCCCTTCCGAAGACTCGACATTGCCTCCTGCCCTACCCAAGACGAGCCAAGACGCATGAGGAGTTTATTTTATATAACTCACAATGCTGGGGCATATTTGCTGTTTGAAGTTGGCAAAAGGGCAGGGATTGAAAGATGTTGAAGATTTCAAGAGAGCGAAAGCGCGTTGACAAATTCATGCACTATTCCTATATACCCAACGTCCTGTAGACAAATAGCCTTATTATTACGACACCGTAGAAGTAAGTGGGTTGTATATGGTGGGATGGTGGGACACTCTGTTCATTTTTCCCATTCCGACCACTCCCCAACCGGCCCAACTGGCCCATATCCATAACTATCCATTGGGTTACTCTCTGACGAAAACCCTCACTCTGTCTACCTGTCATTCCAGGCTGTGATGCGGTGGACAAGCGATCTGATACCCAACCGCCCCTTCTGGCAAGCGGAGTTCTAGAACATCCTGTCCCTTGAGCGACTAGCAAAAATTTTATCCTTCCTCGTCGCCCACCCTTCCAGACGACAAAGGATTCAACTTGCAAATAATGGTAATACAGGGTAAGAATCGAAACAACAGCCGCATAGGGGATGATACAGCGCGGCTACTTGTATTCGGACAGCAATGTCACAGAACTTTGTTCCCAGACATGGATGGAAGGGAAGTCGGCGGCTAGTTGGTCATTGTTATTAATCGTCCTGCATCAGCGATTATTGGAACAAGAACGTCTTATATTCTAAAGAGGATCACTCCGGGAAGCCAGGGTTGCTTGATTACGTCTAGTTATTGTAGTATTTCGATATTCCGGACAGACTGTCCAGACTGGAGACCAGAAGGTACTTACGGAGCACAGTATGCCAAGCCCCACCATGGCATCATTCGCGCAACTATAAGATTCGCGGCTTAACCCCCCCACCTGTCCAATTCTTCGCTCTTTCTCAACACCTCAACCTCAACCATCTCTGTCCACCCAGCGCAGCCAGGAGCAGACCTGCACAATTGAAATACTCTGAGTAGATTATCTTTGCTCACTCTTACGTCCTTAACGCAATTGAATCGCTTTGAAGCGGCTTACCTTCAATCAACGCCCTTGGCCATACCCCGCCAAATAGCAACCTCCCCTTTCCGCTTTACCAGGTTCCATCCAATCAGCAATGGCTAGCTTTTCAGAGGCCAGCAATCTCAATGCGTGGAAAGCTCTGCAGGAGCATTACAATACTACAGGCCGCAATATTTCTCTAAAAGACCTCTTCCAAAAGGATGCCGACCGCTTCCAGAAGTTCTCCTACACCTTCAACAACGCCGCAGACAAGTCCGAAATTCTCTTCGACTACTCCAAAAATCTTATCGCAGATGAGACCTTCAACCTGCTGATAAACCTGGCCAAGGAGGCCGGCGTGGAGGCCCTTCGTGACCAGATGTTCAAGGGCGAGCCCATCAACTTCACTGAGAATCGGGCGGTGTACCACGTTGCTCTACGCAATGTGACGAATGAACCCATGCAGGTCAATGGGAAGAGTGTAGTGGAAGGTGTCAACTCCGTCCTGGACCACATGAAGGAGTTCTCTGAGCAGGTGAGGAGCGGGGAGTGGAAGGGTTATACAGGAAAGAAAATCAACACCATTATCAATATTGGGATTGGAGGGTCGGATCTGTAAGTGTCTTCAATACACAGTTCTCACAGTTGATTGGAAACCACCGCATAATAAGGTGTGATGCTAACGCTCCTACAGTGGCCCTGTCATGGTAACGGAAGCCTTGAAGCCATATGCTGATCGGAATCTGACAATCCATTTCGTCTCAAACATCGATGGCACCCATGCCGCTGAAGCCTTGAGGAACTCTGACCCAGAGACCACTCTCTTCCTAATCGCTTCAAAGACGTTCACCACAGCGGAAACAATCACCAATGCTAATACCGCCAAAGCCTGGTTCCTGAAAACCGCACAAGACACCGCTCATATTGCTAAACATTTCGTCGCGCTCTCCACGAATGAAGCCGAAGTTACGAAATTTGGTATCGATAAGAAGAACATGTTCGGCTTCGAATCATGGGTTGGAGGCCGGTATTCTGTCTGGAGCGCAATTGGGCTGTCCATTGCTCTCTACATTGGCTTCGATAACTTCCACGAGTTCCTCGCAGGCGCTCATGCCATGGATAAACATTTCCGCGAAACACCCCTAGAGAAGAATATCCCCGTTATCGGAGCACTGCTAAGTGTCTGGTACAGCGACTTCTTCGGGTCCCAGACTCATCTCGTTTCCCCATTCGATCAATACCTGCACCGCTTCCCCGCCTACCTTCAACAGCTCTCCATGGAAAGCAATGGCAAAGCCATCACCCGCAGCGGAGACTATGTGAAGTACACCACTGGGCCCATCCTATTCGGCGAACCTGCCACCAACGCCCAGCACAGCTTCTACCAGCTCCTACACCAGGGCACAAAGCTCATTCCCACCGACTTTATCCTCGCAGCACAGTCACATAACCCCGTCGAGGGTGGCAAGCACCAGACCATGCTTGCATCTAACTTCCTCGCCCAAGCTGAAGCCCTGATGGTCGGCAAAACACCCGAAGAAGTCAAGGCGGAAGGCGCCGCGGAGAATCTCGTGCCACACAAGACGTTCCTGGGGAACAGACCAACGACTTCGATCCTCGCGCAGAAGATCACACCCGGCACCCTTGGTGCACTCATCGCTTATTATGAGCATGTCACTTTCACAGAGGGTGCGGTGTGGAACGTCAACTCGTTTGATCAGTGGGGTGTGGAGCTGGGAAAAGTTCTGGCGAAGAAGATTCAGAAGGAGCTGGAGACTCCCGGTGCGGGAGCGGGCCATGATGGTTCCACTAGCGGCTTGATCGCTGCGTATAAGAAGAAGGCTTCGCTTCTGTAGATAAGAGGAGGGACAGGCAAGAAGTGTCACCGTGGGAGCTCATGGAATGTAAACCGGCGTGATATCTGTGACGGATGAGAGTTTATGAAGCGATGACAACGATCACGATGAGGAAAATCCCAAAAGTCCGGGTATATTTTGTGTGTTAAGACAGTAAATAATAAAGCAAGCTTTTATTTCTTCTTTTGTAGTTTTCCTTTTGCCAAACCTAGCGTGGATGGGGGTTCAATGTTTCCTTTTCGTGATAGGTCCATAATTATTGGAGGGCCAAAGGATACATATAACTAACTATATATATATATATGCTTATTTGCAGACAAGCCATACGCTCCCTTGGAAAGTTCCCCGGTCCCGCCCTGAAAGATTCCAGGATCCAGGTTCCACAAAATCCCCGCGCGCATTTGCAGCCAATCAACGCAATAGTAGCGCTTCCTGGGCGCAGGGACAATTGTTTACACATCTCCATAATTCAGGACCTACAATTCAATTCTACTTCTTCAGTTTCCCACTCGCCGAAAACTCTTATCCGCTCCCGGGCACATGTATCTATAATGTCGTCGCAGCCGCCGGGCATTTCCTCCCTTTGCCGCAAATATATCCTTCCCTTGTTCCTGGTGATCAATGTGGTGCTCGTAAACAGCGGCGGGTTTGCGGCGGCTAAATCGATTCTACCAGGCTATGCCCATGGCCAAAGTGTGCCGGTTAGTTGTCTGAATAGGGATATGTGAGTCTTTTTTCTTTCTTGTTCTTTTCTTTTTATATTAGGTTAAATGTGCACGGGCTGGGTTGGGCCAGATTTGGGGGTATTCGTTTAGACTAATTCGTTATTGTAGAGAGACTGGCGAACATGTATGTCTGAACCTACAAAACACCTCGATCAGATATAACCGGTCATTACTATTCCACTTCCCCGCCGCATGGGGTAAAATAGACATATTTTCGCCCAATAACGTACCGCTAACGCTCTCATCTAGATCACCGACCCGGCCGGAAAACTCCAATACATCCCCTTCCCAACATGCAACGAAACCTCCGCCCCGCTTTCTTTCCGCTACGGCATCTCCGAAACAATAACCTGCACCATCCACTCTCTCTCCGACACCCTCTACCACCTACTTGAATACTACGTCCACTCTGACGTTCCATTAACATGTCGCATACCTACCTTCCCGCTCCTCACCTCCTCTGCTAGTAGTAGCAGCAGCAGCAGCAGCCATGAGAATGACCGCGACGGTGACAGCAGCGGCGAAGAAACACATGACGGCTCTACGACTAATGACATATCCTCATCAGCTTCGCAACCGCCCTTTACACCCCTGACAATCGCGCTGCAGGGGACCCTGCAGCTGTCCCATCTCCATATATGGACAGACATGAATGTGCTCATGCACCAGTCTGCGCGATTATCCACTAACCCTGAGTCCTACTCGAAAAAATGGAAGAAGTCGAAGAAGGATAAAAAGAAGGGGAAGAAAAGCGATCATAATATGAAGAACAATAACAAGGAGATGAATAAATTGACGCTCCCGCAGGGACAGATTGTGGCCGCATCGGCATACTCGGTGCCGATGGTTATATCCGCTACTGCTGATGACAATTTCAATGACAATGACGGCGACCCCGGCAACAACGAAGCGGCGGCATTGAAGAAACGCAAGAAGGAGAGGGAGATGTTGATGCGGCCCTGGGCAGCGGAGGGGGGCGCGAAGGTCATCCGCGGCGAGCCGCTTGTGTTCACGTTTCGGGTTGGGTGGGTTTCCAGCGGCGATGTGCTTGGGCTAGTTCAGTCGGACAAGGCAAAGTGGAAGTCGAAGAAAGTGTTTGGATATGGGCCCCGTGTTGGGCTGTTTTTCCGGTTGATGACTATTTGCTTTTGGGTCGGGGTTGGGATGGGGTTGGCTGTGGTTGTGGAGAGGGTGAGGCATAGAAGGAGGGTGGTGGGTGTTTATAAGGGGGATGGGATTTTGGGACACAGGCCATTTTTTAGTGGGTTTGGTGCTGGCATCGGCGGGACCGGGGTAATGAGTTTTGGAGGGGATAAGGGTAGGATTAATGGGTATGGACTAGGGTTGAACGGGAATGGGAATGGAGGTGGCTATGGGGGGTATGGAGGGTATTCCGTCGGGAAGAAAGATTGAGTTACATATGTAAGCAATGAATTGTCCTTCTATTTTCTTTTCTTTTCTTCTCTTCTCTTCTCTTCTCTTCTCTTTCCTTTTCTTTTTGGATATGTTATTTGAGAACATTAGATTTTCAAAATCTATATACTATAGACCTTAGCCATTTTCAGCTTTTGCATCTGATGAGTGACAAAATGGAAATATTCAGTATCGAGGCATAGAGGGACTGTACAATATTCGATGCTATACATTTTAATTTTGTAATATTCTTTCTACAAGGGGCAAACACAGCTTGAATTCTATAATCTTATTATGGTTCAACTGAGAGTTACCAGTACATGTACCACCCAGAATTCATTTTAGCGGATACAGTGGCTTAGGCACTGCAAAGATGAACAGAGCAAACCCCTGAGGTTTGTAATATAGACAGAGGTATACATAGAGAGTGGGCAGCCAGCCTGCTAGCTAGCTAGAAATCTCTAATAATCAATATATCAACAAGATTTTTCATTTATTTTATCGCCTATATAATGAATGAGCTAACAGATGAATGCAACTGGCTTCAAAGCCAGTTTTAGTTCTTAGATTGTTACACTGTAACTATTGAGATAGTACTCAGCAGTTCAAGGCGTTGGATCTGAATACCCTATGCATTATAACAAGCTCACATGCAGCAACACTGTATAGAGAAAAGAATACTCATCCAACTATAGAGGGTGGTATTCATGCTAGCCCCTGCAGCAGCACAGAGTCCATATGTCATGAGAGTGTCTTAGCTGCATCACAAACAACGCCAAATGCCTGGGAATATAATTATCCTATTTCGCTTTTGCATACATCCCGAGACTGCATTGTAACAAATAAAGAAAACACATACCTAGCGCAGTTGATTGCAATCTGGGAATGTAAAAAATTTTAAGACATAATAGCTATAACAGACAGCAATATCAGCATGCTTTCAACCTTTGGTCAACATTCTCTATCATTCAACCAGAGCTTAAGTGCACGTCAAAGTAAGTGCACGTTAAAGAGCAGATATCCAAGACCGACCGGAAATTCAGCTGTTTTGCCCCGGGATATTCATCTTCAGCAACTTATGAGGCTCTGATGTTGACAGATTCTCCTCACTCATGATCATCATCATCATCATCATCATTGTGGTGGTCGTCAGAGGGCTCAGCGGATCCACTCAATGCCAGGAGACGCTGCAAAACGGAGTGCATATCTAGTAAGTTCACATCTGGTAATGGAAGGGCTTCCAGATCCGCTGTTTCGAGGATTATTTCATCACCTAAACTGATCTTGTGTTCAGTTATAACATTCCAAGCTTTGAGGTGCCAGGCAATTCGGTGAGATTCTCGGGAATAGAAGGGCGATCTGTAATTTTCGTTGTAGCTGATGTTGGACGTATAGGAAGCCAGTAAACCTTCAATTTAAGATATTTACAGCCCTCAGATGCTTTGATGGGTGGCAGAGAGAGTGAAATTCCCTTTTTGCATCCCAGCAGTGCGCGAGTGGGGCAAAACACATCAGGTTATTTACCAGCTCAGTGCCTCTCTAGAAAACTGCTTGGTGTCATGCATTAACACGTTCCTGACCAGAAGGCTATTTTCAAAAGCTCGCTCCTTGCTTGTCCTTGCCGCCCATAGAAAAAGGGATTGATTTGTGGGTCATGTCGACTGGATCAGAGTAGTTTTGTGAGAATGCATCTAGACCCATCCCTCTCGCGACACTGAAACTATTTTTGGCCGAAAATCTAGCATCAGTCAAAAAAGATCATAATTTTTCTTTCGCAATTTCAGATCTGGACTCATTATCTTCCCGTGTTTGCGTCAAACTCAAACCACAAGTTGGGGTGTTCGTGATCAGCGCCGATGATGAGAGCCGTATATCAGATTGACGTCGGGTTAATTGTTGTTGTACACTGTGGTAGTGGGATTAAAGCCGGAGAACGGTGGGAGCATCGAGGAGGCATGTATATTACCTCCGAACTCCCGACAGTGCTCATCGTGGAATTCCACCTGTAGCCCAACTTGATCTGCAGCCAGTTTCATCATGCCAGTGCTCGAGGAATTGCTGCAGGTGGATTGGACAGATACATCTGAGACGATGTTGATCGCCCAGAGCTTATTTAATTTAGGCGCGCGCCAATACTTCGTAGTTACACCGTTATTATTCACGGATTATATTTGTATAGAAATTTATTACTGTGAAAAATAATTGTAAAATTCACTTACTACAATTAATCATTATATAACAATTAATAGTGTGTATAAAACAAATCTCAAATAACAGCGATATTTGAATTTAGTCTTTAAAAACAAAATATTTCTTATATACACGATGAAATTACACAAAATAGTTGCAATTGAAGTTCAAATAGTACTAATACATCAGAAAGTATCCTTACACACATCTATCTGAGATCCCTCTAATTCCACCTTATCCTACTCTCCACAAAACCCAATATAAACCCATGAATTCTCAGAAGCAAGAAAGAAGCAAAAACACCACCCATCTCTATCATTCTAGTGGGTCGTGGCCCTCTCTCCCCAGGACATAAAACACCATTCCCCAATCCCAAAACCAATCACCACCCCTGCTTCCTCAACTTCTCACATCTCGCAACCGTATGCTGGAACGACATCTTGAACAGCTTCTGCCACCTCTCCCTCCTCAACTGCTTCTTCAACTGGCCCCTCCTAACATGAAACCGCTGCTTCATCATCATAGTCTTGACCTTATTCCGCCGAACCCTCGTCTCCATCATCTGGAAAGCCGTTGCGACATCAACGCCTGCCTTCGGGTCTACGGCGACGGTGCGGCCCAGCTCAGGGCCCAGACGCATGTTGACGGTGGGTACCCGGAGTTTTTGCGACTGGCCCACTGCATCGCGCACCTGTCTGTACATCGCTGCGTCTTGTGGCGTGCGCGGTTGGAAGGGGTTGGTAGCCTGTCGCGGGTGGTTTGAGCGGGGGATGAAATTATTTAGTATGTCGGTGACTTGGGCGAGGCTATCATTATTGCTACTACTACTGCTAGTGGCGCTGCGGGAAGCTGGGCCTCCAGGTGGTCCCCTCGGTATATTGCCTGGCGACCAGGGTTTGACCGGTTGGTTTTGTCCAAGTTGTGGTTGCCTTTGGGATTGTTGCGGCGGCGAATTGGATCCGCCTTCAGGTGCTGGCTGAGAGGGAGTAGTGGATTGTTCGGATGCACTGAGGGGTGCTGAGGTGCTAATTGGTCTTGTAAACGCGGCAATTGAGGTCGAGGAGCGGGAGAGAGGGCATTTCTGGAGAATGGAGCGGCGAGAGGAGGAGAGGAGATTTATGGACCGAGCAATATGGCGGGTCTCCATGGTGGTAAAAATCTGAATTCTATATGCGAAATATGTACATGGATGCCAATTAGAAGATAAGTAGAGAGGTAGTGAGGTTGGCGGCCGATTCTCCCATTGCGAGTCTGAGGTTGAATTTGGCGTGGTTGAGGTTTGAGAAATATTTCGGAATGAAAACCGTCACGTGACACGTGATATTTCCTTGCTTCTTCCGTCCCATTGCACATATTGCGCCGTGAGGAGGAGCAGGGGTTGCAGACTGCTATCTAGCTGGAGCTGGCCCGTCATTATAGGGGCCGGCGATTCATTCCTACGATATATGAATCACTGGAATACGGACACAAATCTCTATATTATCCTTTGTACCCCTCATATAGTCATACTCTCCTATCATAGGCATAACCCCAGGTGCGGGAAGTTGGTCAAACCATCCAACCAAAGCAAGCATACATACATGCGCCGTGGCGGGAATGGAGAATATCAATAATGGACGGGATTTTTCTTTAGGAGCTTCTGTCCCAACGAAAATGCTTCTTCTCAAGGATATGTTTTGTTCACTTTTTGAGCTTGATAACTATATGGCTTTGGTAAAGCTCTTTTACCCGTATTCTTGCTCTCGGAGGTACATTGGCTATCTTCAACACTGACATTTCTTTGATTACTATGTAACTATTTTATCTATCACCTTGCTCTATTGGCTCACTTGTAGCCTTGATACTGATTCCCCATCCAATCTGACTGAGAGGTGTGGGACTATCCGTATTCCGCAATATACATACAATGGCCGTTATCTGAAACATTTTCTCCAACCAGCGGACTCTACCCTCTTGATTCGATTATAATGACGACGCCCGACGTTGAAAGTGGCCATAGATGGAATGAATAGCACAAGTATCAGTACCAACCCAACTCTGGTATGAAAAAGGCCCGGAGATAAGAATGAAAGAATGGCAAACATTCTTTTATGCAATCAGGATATCCGAGATGTGAGGTGATGGCCCCTCCGAAGAAAATTCAACATTTTCACTGAAAAGTACATGTACTGTTATGATGCCAGCTGAAGGGATATAGATAGGGAGGGGGATTATATAGTTATGATGATAACTCTACTCTTCCCCCCCTTGCCTCATCTATCTCCTAACCCTTGCACCAAATGGTTCAACTTCTTGGAAAGTATATACCTGGGAATTCACATGACAATTGCATGAATGTTTCTGATACTCAAATACTCACTATATATATCTGCCGAAAATCAAAATGCAAACTGGGGGATTGAAGAGATGTGCTTTGCTGAAATGCCAAGTGCTCTGTGTCTTGAATAGGGATACATTTCTTCACTGAATTGAAGCCAAGAAAGAAATGAAATGGGGGGTATTGTGTCTCAGCCTACAAAGCTGAGAGAGACAAGAGCATGGTGTTCAAGCTGAGATGTGTATTGTGTGGCTGAACAAATGGTTATAAATGCATGTATATAAATATAGTATATACTCCGTATATTAAGAGAACTAAGCGGCGTGACATTTAGCCCATGCATAATAGGAGCCATTGGTGGCTCAAGAATAAGAGAAACAGAGGGTTTGGTTGAGTACTGGGATAATTTAATAAGAAGAAAAGTAAAGATAGAATGCTAAGATCTGGAAATGCTGAAATAACTATATGTACAGTATTGACATCTGCGCTCAATAGAAGATCTGCTTTGCTACCAGGAATGGAGGTTGGTCAGTAAGAAAGATGTATCACTGACTCACTGAGAAGGAACTCAATGTTATCATCAATAAAATTATGGCAAGGCAATAGTTTCTTCAGAACATAATAGTTTCTTCTTCAAAGCCTTGAAGAAAACTTGTGGAAACAAAAAACAAAAAATAAAAAAACCAGAGCAATCTTGAAAAAAAATAGAAATGACGAAGTTGATGTCAAATACATTTAATGACCTAGGAAATGAGAGTTAACTATTAATATAATCAAAAGACACCAACTTTGACGCCGTCTTCCTGTATTTTCCCACTCTTCCCTTCTATCTCATTGTGGGCCGTTGCTCTGCCCTCCATGGACTGCATTGAGAGTAGTTAGTAGTTTAAACCGTTTAGAAGATATGCGCATTCGGATATTAAAAACAACAGCAAAATAGACAATACCTCTGGGAGTTCCCGTTTTGACGGGGAGAGCACATATTAGTATTAAAGTAAGTGAGTTAGTTAATTGCCAATAACCTACTGTGTACTCTGTACTCTTCAAAGAATATCAAAGAACAAAATAAATAATATCACTGCCTTTTATGTATTATTCTTTCGCCTGTGACAATTAGAAATAAAATACGCTTTTGCCTAACTTACGTATCCTGGCGCATTTGTGTTTCGTTGTTCTTGTCGAGGAGGTAATTTATAAGCCGTATTGGTACTGTTATGACGCCATGGATGATGGATGCGGCTTAGGTGCCCACTTTTCGACACTGGGGTACAAACCCAGCCGAGCAACAGCGTAGAAACCACCGCAGAAATGACTGGGTTTGGTGGTCAACCTCGCAGAACCGAGCGGCTGTACTGCCCAATACCGCCACTGTACCACCTTGATACCACTGGATTCCGTCTTGTACTGTACATACCAGACGAGACCACGGGGAAAAAAAAAAAAAAAAAAATCCCAACCTTCTCGTTTCTGGCAACGACCTCAAAGTCCCGTCTTCTCTTCTTCTTCTTCCTTCTTCTTCTTCCCTTGCCACCCTCATCCCCCTTATCATCACAACACACATCAACTTTTGATTTACCGGCGGATCCTCTTCATTTTCTGAAGCAGGACGATCGCGGATAGTTCAGTTTCCTCTGTTCCATCCGTCGCTTTTCTGAAAATCCCGTCTCTTCCGCTCTTGCGGTGGTGTGCGGATTCACACCCACTCCTTATTTGAGTGTCTCGTTAATCCACCTCGACAGGTATACTTACCCTTCACTCTCCTATCATTCTCGTATCCCGCATCTCCCTCTGCTGCAAATAACTTCAAAGGATGCCGCAACGGGACTGCGGCTAGCGCTTCTTCGATTAACTTCGTGCGCCGATATTTCTGAACATTATAAACGTTAGATTGAAGAAACACTGACCTTCCGCTCGCTTTGTGTGGGTTAGGTTTTTGCGTGCCAAACCGTATCCCCTCTTGGTTTGACACTTTTCCACGACTAGGCAATATATTATTTTCGCCTTCATCGACTTTGTTTTTCATCGTCTTTGCTCTATCGCGCCGTTTTACGATTTGATTTTATATTTGTCATAGTTTTTCCCCTCGTCTCGAGCCGGATCTGGAATCTGCTGGGCGCACACTTTCCCAGCTTGTTTCTTGAACGTTTCTTGTCCCTAATAACTTTATCTATTTCAACCACTGTTCCGGCGACTCTTTGCGCAGACGATCGTGTAATGACATCGATCTCCCAGACATCAGGCCTCAAACCACAGGGACAGAGTAGTACCAGCAGTTCGGCCTCGCCTCAGGGTCACTCTCCCACTTCTTCGGTGAGTTGAAAAGACGAAGGGGAAAAGCAAAGAAGAAGAAGAAGAAAAATAAGAAGAAAAGGAGAAAGCAAAGCCTTTTACAGCATAGCCCACCACCTCCTTGAGAGCATTATTCCCAGTACTTTGCAAACAAGTTTTTCCATTACTTTGCTAACGCGACAAAGAAATCTCCGCCGCAGACCGTTACTGGCGAAGCGGCCACCTCAACGACTGCCGGAAGTGGGCCTGCTCAAACGCCTCAGCATGGAAAGTCGCCCTCTGTCTCTCTGAACGGAAAACACATGCAGCATCCAGTAGCCCCCGTCGCCGGTGGCTTGACCATCGTCAACGGAAACACCGCGCCAAACACATCCTTACACGACAGGAAAAGTTCTGTCACTATCAACCCTAGTTTAATCCCGAATGGAGGCCCAGCTGGCGCTTCAGGCCGCGCAAATAGTCTGCGATTCGGGTCGTTGGACTCCCAGGGAGCTCCGGTGGACAATCCCGCGCCTCTTCCACACCAACCCCAGTCTACTTTAGGCGCTAATGCATCTATGAACCCTCGCACAACTTCCCCACAGACATCTCCTTCTCCTATTCCTCAACCTATAGCAAGTGGCGGACGACCACCATCTTCCCTACAAGGACAAGGGAATAATTTTAACTTTGGCAGCTTTGGTGGTGACCCCGGTGACGTGAATGTAAGATAGGTTTACTCTATTACACAAGGGTTATGCCAATCATAGAAGAATCTGTACTAACGGCCTCACTTCTGTAGCGACCAAATATGCGACCTGTTCCGATGGGCCCGAATGCCCAATCTACCCACTTTCGACGTGAATCGTCACACTCTGCACATGGTGATATGGGCAATCATGCTATGCCAAGTGCTCCTCCAGGACGCGGCGGCTATGGTCATGGTGGCCGAGGAAGAAGCTATGGACAGCCCCATCAGGCAATAGGATATAACTCGCCCGGCCCTACATATAGATCCACTTCCAGCCAACCTCGGGGCGGGCCCAATATGGGTTACCATGGCCATCACCAGCGATCTCTAGGTCCCTTCCCAAATTCGCCCCGGCAGCCGGCTCGAAGCCCTGCGCTTTCCAACGTGAACCCCGCGACTCCACCGATGTCCCACGTTCCTATGGCAAATACACAAATGCAGGCCCCGCATTATGGCGGATATCCTTCTCATATGGCCCCTCAACCAGTAAAGCAACAATTTTCTTACCCCCCTAAATATCCTAACCGTCGATCTTCTTTACCCCAGAACCAAAATGGCCCCTGTGTTAAACCCCAAAATGCCCAACGCCGCTTTACTCCCCAAGCCCACTACCTTCATTACCCCCAACCCCCTACACTTTCCCCAGAGAGTGGACATTTTGAACAGTATCTGACGATGATTAAAACCCAGGGATTCGTTGCTCAGGGCTATGATCCTAATTACTATTACCAACATTCGACATATAATATGCAGCAAGGATATCAATACATGCCCCCTTCGTCACCCCGCCCCGCTATGAGTGTACCACACCCAACCCAAGCCCCTTACATTCAGGCCCAATATAGCAACCAGGGCCATCCACCTCCACAAGCCACTCCACTTTCACGTTCACCCTCACAGGTTTCCGGCCCGGACCGACCAGGCTCAAGTCTCGGACCGGCCCAGCCCTCCGTCCCAATGACCCAAGGACCTTCTTATAATGCGAGTCGATCCACCAGCAGTCCTGCGCCAAAATCCCAGTTCATCGTACCAACTAAGAGTTCTATTGTTATTAAGGACCCTAACAGTGGTAAAGAGATGAGCTTTGAGAAGCAATCGACGTCTCAACCTCGCACGACTCCTTCCCCCGTCAAACTAGGTGCCAATACTCCAGCTTCTACACCTCCCCGTACCGTCAGCCGTGCCGAACATGAACGGTCGGACTCTAAGTCCATGACAGGAGAGGAGAAAAAGCAGTCTTTCCAGGATGCCATCGCTCAAAAGGTCAGGGCTGAAGCTGAGGCTCGCAGGAGAGAAGAGGCCGAAAAGGCTGAGAAGCAACAAAAGGAGAAGGAAGAAGCTGAAGCCAAAGCACGTGAGGAGGCAGAGGGAAAGAAGGCAGCGGAGGAGGTGGAGAAAGCTGCTGCACTAGAGAAGGAAAAGGAACAAGAGCAAAAGGAAGCGGCAGTTAAAGAACTTAGCAACCCCGAAGCGCCAAAACCTATGGAATCTACACCAGCCGAAGATGAGATTGATTGGGATGCACTAGAAAAGGAACTAGCCGAGAAAGAAGCCGCAGCTGAGAAGGCATATGCTGAAAAGAAGAAGAAGCAGCAGGAAGAGAAAGCTCGCAAAGAGAAGGAAGAGCATGAGGCTTACATCCTCAACCTTAAAAAAGCTGAACAAGAGGCGGAGGCTGCAGAAGAGGCTCGAATCCGCAAACTCAAACAGGGCGAGGAAGAAGTTGCCAAGAAAGAGCAGACAGATTTGTTTGCTCCCCTCAAAACCAAGGGCACCCAATCTCCCACTTCCACAGCAGAAAGCCCCGTCATTCGAACCCCTGCCGAAAGCGGAGCTGCCACGCCCGTATCGGATACCTCGATGGGACCACCCTCCAAACCTGCTAGCAGCGGAAAGCGAGACAAGCCTGCTGCATTGAAGCTGGAAACTACAAAAACGGTTGAACCACCTCAGCCAAGTGCTGCAATGAAATCCCTCCAGACTGCCCGGTTCCTCGATGATCCTAGCAAGATCGCCTACCCTCTCCCCATCGTCTCCCCTAATCCTGCTCTAAATGCAAACGCTCCAACCGACCGTAAATTTAAGTATAACAAAGAATTCTTACTCCAATTTCAGTCTGTTTTCAAAGAGAAGCCATCAATAGATTGGGACAGCCGTGTTCGGGAGACGGTTGGAGATGGTACGGATACTTCTTCGCGCCCCGGATCCGCTCGAACTCCAATCATGGGTGGCGGACGGACAACCTCCCGTCCAGGAATTCAAACTTCTTTCCCTAGCGCTGGCATGGGTAAATTTGTCCCAGTTCCTGGACGGGCACAAACATTACCCCCTGGAGGTATCGGTCGGGATGGTTTCCCGATGCCAGCTGGTGGCCATGGTATGGCAAATCCTTTCGGCCACTTCTCTCGTGGTCCTGGTGGCCTTCCTCTGGGTAGCTCACCTATGAGCCGTAGCAGTTCTTCGACTATGCAGCAGATGCCATCTCCACGTGCTGGCAGCCACAGAGGCCAGCGGTCAGGAAGCAAGCGGGATAAAGGATCAAGGAAGGATGAAGAAAGCCACAAGGCTATGCCTCTCACTGCTAACTTGGACCTAAAACCCTTGGTCCCATCTAAGACTGGCTGGAAGCCGCGTAGCGTGGGACAAAACCTTTCTGGCCCTGCTCTTGGGGATGATGGATACATGCCACCGGATGTTGCCGAACGGAAGATTAAAGCTAACTTGAACAAAATGACACCCGACAACTTTGAGCGTATCTCTGATCAGCTACTCAGCATTGTGGGACAATCTAAGCTCGAATCAAATGGTTTCACACTCCAACTAGTCATCCAGCGTACCGTCGACAAGGCCATGGATGAAGCCCACTGGAGTCCATTGTACGCCCAGTTCTGCCACCGTATGCAGAACTATGTGACCCCTGATATCAAAGATGAAAGTATGCGCGATCGAGACGGCAATGCGGTCGCTGGTAAAACTTTGTTCAAAAAATACCTTCTCAATGGCTGCCAAGATGAATTCAATCGTGGTTGGAAAGTCGACCTCCCAAAGACACCTGAAGGTGTCACCGAGGAGGCTGCCATGATGTCCGACGAATATTACATTGCAGCTGCCGCCAAACGACGTGGTCTCGGCCTGATCAAATTTATTGGTGAACTGTACAAACTCGGCATGTTGACTGAGGGAATCATGCACGGATGTATAGTGAAATTGCTTAACTTTAAGGGTGTCCCCGAAGAAGCCGAAGTGGAGAGCTTGATAAACTTGCTGCGAACGGTCGGATACAGTCTTGACCACACTAAGAGTAAGGAGCACCGTGGCAAAATGGGCAATTACTTCGAAGTGATTCAAGCTTTGACGAGCATGCAAGGCGTTCCTAAACGTCTTCAGTTTATGCTTGAGGTATGTTTTGCAATTCCCGCGAGATTTATTAACCTTCCTGTATGCCGAATCCAATGCTGATAGAATTTAGGACCTTATCGATTTGCGTAATGCTGGGTGGATATCGAAAGACATCGATAAGGGTCCCAAGAAAATTGCTGAGATTCGGGAAGAGGTTAGTAAACATAAGCATGGTATTTCGCTGGATCAAAAGTTTCAGCCGCTAACGTGTCAATTAAATAGGCTGCCCGCGAGCATGAAAAGGAACGCATGCGTCAAGAGGCCAACAGAAGTCGGATGCCAATGGGTCGTGGAGATTCGCGGAACTTTTCTGGTGGTTACGGAAGTCAAGCTCCTCCCGACTTTGCGTCAAGCAAGGTTGGCAACGACGACCTCCGCCGACTGAAGGCGCCCAGGAATACAAACCAGCCGGTATCCTTTGGACCCTCCAGCTTGTTTGGTTCCCGGAGTAGCAGCGGCCGCAGAAATCTTGGTCCCGGCGGCAATTTAGTTCGTGGAGGCGCAGACAGCGGGGCAAGTAGTCGAACTGGTACGCCGCCAGGCGGTAAGGATAAAAAGGACGACAAGGAGGCTGCATCCTCTGTAAATGCGTTCAGGTGAGGACTGCAGACCACCCAAACCCCAAGCAACCCAAACCCCAAGCAACCCAAAAAAGACAGCACAACACCCACCTAGGATTTTTCTTCATACACCACGTATGGACTGGATAGGCTAACTTGTTCCGCGTCTTCGTTTCACCATTTCAGTGCCCTGGCCGCCTTGAATAACGAAGACAACCTGGCCACATCACCCCCATCCAATCCATCGTCCCCTCCCATGGTTAAGTCCCAGCCAGCCGTCGAACGGTCAAATCCGCCAGCAAAGGAACGGGAAGGTCGAAGTACATCTTGAATTATTTTTATAAATTAAGGTGTATATTCGAACCCACTCCCCTATTCGTCAACTCTCCATCCCTTCTTCGGGGAAGCCAATTTCTTTCAGTCCATAATAATACCCCGCCGGCTTCTCTCAAACACCTTCAAAAACCAATTTATAGACGATACAACCTTGTAATACTTTGCCGGTTTCACTAAAAAAAAAGGAAAGGAAAGGAAATCCGTTCAGGGCGTGGTATATTATTTATTTTGGGAAAGACATGGAAAACAAAAGCTGAGAATCGGAATAACCGGAACTCCCATGGGATAAAATATAGAGAGAAGGGGTAAAAAAGAGACAGTATGAAAGAGAAAAAATGAGGAAGAAATCTCGTTTTTTTTGCTTTCTTCTTTTACTTTTTTTTTATTTCCCAATCTCTTTTTTACCAAAATCGCTATATAAAAGTTCAAAATCATTTGGTGGTGAACAGATTTAGGGGAAATGAAAAAGTCAGGAAAGAAGGCCCATGTTCTCCTTTTCCTTTTTCTATGTTTCTTCTTGGATGCTGGAAAAAGAGAAGGAGAGGAGAAAAGAAAGAATACCCGGAAAGTTGTGTGCTTTATTTTATCTCATTTATAATTTTCCCGATTTTTTTCCTGTCTGTTCCGTTACTCTTTTTCTTCTTTTTTTTTTCTTCTTTGCCCCTAAAAGACCATGCTTTCATATTATTCTATTCTTTCAAACTTTTTTTGTTTTTGACTTTTCTTCTTTCTTAATTAATCATGTTGCACTTCTTCTATTCCTTTTCACGTGCTTTTTTGCTGACTGCCTGCTATGCATTTGCACGGTGATTCTTTTGCTTTTGTTGCTTTGTCTCCTTTTCTCGCCCTTCTTCCCTCTTCGTCTTGAATCGACCGATTGACCGATTGAATGATTGATTAAAATACATAACTTCTTTTTATTCATCATGTGTGTGTGTCTATCTGCGTCTGTACGTGCGTCTTACAAACCTGTCTGTCTCCGCGTCCTACTCATTTCCGTAAATTCCATGACTTTTTTTCTTCTTCTCTTTTCCCCGCTTATTCTCTAACGTCCATCTCCGTTTTTCCATGCCATATATGTGTGTTCAAAATATTTTTTTTTTCTTTATACTTTCTCTCTTCTTTCTTCCATCTCATCCTCCTCTCCTCATTTTTTATCAAGTATTGATTTTCCCACCTCCCTTTTCCTTCTCAATCATGTCTAACTAGCTCAAGTAAACTACTACCACTACCACCACCACCATCACTACTACTACTAGTCAGCTTAAGTTCGGGGTTCATTTTAATTAATTTTATGCTGTTTAGCTGTTTTTCTTTTTCTCTTCTTCTTCGAAAGGTGGTAAGAATGAAGTTGGAACTACATGGGTTAATCCAAATCTACTACACAACACGAAAGGCGACGGTCTCATATACTATGCATACAAAGGCATGAAGTACAGTACATGAAAATTAATTATATTGCGTTATATTGCGTTGTCTAACAAATATCAACTGGTATCACATTTACCTCGCGAGCATGCATACGTACACATATACAGACGGCCAAACAGAGGATAGAGACCCCCAGGCATCATCATCATCATCATAATCATACAGAGCCTGGGTCGTAGCTGTTTAGAATTATGCTCGCCCCCCTGAGTAACATTTCGCTCAGCTGTTCCCCTTGTTGGCTCGCTCGCTTGCCCATTCGGGGAATTAACTACTTTGAAACATCAATGTTAAGTATAGGGAAGGAAGTATATATAAGTAACGAGGACATGAGGCCACGAAGATCTCAGCGGCATTAGAAAGAAGGGGATATCAGTGGCAGAAAATACAGTTTCGTGAAAAGAATTAGTTACTCTATGACACGTCGATATGCGTGCATAGCTAGCGGTGATGGGGGCGAAAAAGAGAAGAAAATGGAAATGGAAAGCGAAAACGCGAGAGAAAAGAAACGAATAGAAGATGTACGGTAGAGGATTTGCCCGTTTCTATTACCTGTGGTGCAGAAAAAGCAGAGCATGATGAGATATATCTTTGCACAAATATCCCTCTGTGGCTCAAAACCTGGAAGATTTCCCAGCCATAGCACCTGTAACCATCGATTTTTAAATATTATTTCATCATCGACTTTTTATGCTAGAGCCTTGATGCCCATTGGACTCGCGGTGCGTTGATCCTCGTTTCTCTTTGCAGTCAAGTTCTGATCACTTGTAAAATCAACAACGCTGGTCCCGGCCGTACTATTGGTTAATGGGTCACTTTGGCCTGAATCACCAGAGCCGGAGCCGGAGCCACTGCTCGATCCATTTTTGCGAGTACAAGAGGACTTGGAACCCCTATCATCGGCAACTTGACTTTCCCTTCTCTCCATGGGTGTAGTGCCGCAATCTGTTGGAGTCTTTGCGCAAGGGATGCAAGATGTTTTGCAGGTGGAGATTATTTTCCTATTTGGAGCATCTTGAGAAACGCTTTGTGGTGGTCGTGTATTTCCACTATAACTAGGAGCTCTAGTTTCCTTTGGGTGAGTAACTGGCATGATCGGGCATTCTGTGGCAAACTGAACTTCACCATGACCATCTGTGTCGTGCCCATCTAGGACTGGGGAATCCGGCCTATTTTCATTGGGAAGTTGTTTGAGGTCGCCATTTCTAATTCGTGAATCAATCGAACCAGACCAGAAGTCTCCTTTAGTAAATGCGGTTTTAAGATCACCGTTGTCTCTGAACGAATTTGATACCGGGTTTGAATTTTCTTCTGACTTCATATGTAGGTTAACGGGAGCATTCGGCACCTCAAAAGGCCTGCCAACCTCTAGATGAATATTTCTTACAGAGTTGGGATTATCAGGGTTTTCCTGTCCCATAGATTCAGTGGATACTTCGGGCCGCAGAGAGTTAGATTTAGAGGGCGTTTCTTCACGTTTGTTCGTGGCAGCCTTATCGCGAATCAAGGGTTCACTGCAATGCCTCGTTTTCGATCCTGAAAGTCCTTGAACAAGTCCAGCTTGCCCAGCGCGGCTTGGGTGCCTTGTCGAAGAAGGCGGGGAGCGACACAGGGTGCTTCCAGAAATATCAGTATTATCGCGTGGATGAGAAATACTAGACAATGAAGAAAGCCAGGAGCTAAGAACCGCGTCACTCTCCGTGGTAGAAGCATAATAATGCGGGCCGGAGGTGCGGTGCATTTCTACTCCAAATTCAGAATCGGTGGCAGTGCTGGGTTGTGAGATTCCGGGGCTGACTTCGCGGAGTGGTTGCATTCGAGTTTCTAGCCACTGCTCACCAAGGTTAAGAAGCGACTCAGGTTTTGCACCGTTAGATAAAATTTTTGATATTTGGCTCTCATTATTCTTTTTGTCATCAAGTGTAGATGAGTGCGAATGCATCTGTTTACTCAACAAAGTTGACATGTTTGCACCATCTCTTGCCTTTACCATGCGAGCTTGCTGGTGGTTAAGCGGCGGGCGCTTCGACGTGATGGGTATTGGTGAGCTGGCCATTTCGGATCCTACAATAAACCCTGTTAGGAGTTAATCTTCATCTTGGGGGTAAAAGATGCGTGCTACTAAAAGCTCACTGTTATTTGAGATATTGGCATATTTTGGGTGTGCCTGGACTGCTGACTGGCCACTGGACATGGAAGACACTGCGTTCCGCAGAATATGAAACGGCTGGAGTGGCCGACTGAATGTTTGGGGTCCAGATCCATAATTTTGAGGGTAGGATGTTTCCTGCTCCGTATGCGCTCCGGCAGTACAGGCTTCCAATTCCAATGGGGACATTAAGCCTGATGACATTGATGGAAGTGACGGCAAAAGATATTGCCGCGGGGCGCCCAAGGCTTCATGGAAACCCGAAAGTTGGGAGTCGTCAATCTTATCAGGCAGGAGCTTGCATGCTACCTCCTGACTCGCGCTTTGGGGCTCCCAAATTGAGCTCAAAGGAGGTTTGGAAGGCGTTTCCGAGCGGGAGAAGCGTTTCATGAGTCGTGACGAGCTAGTAAAGGACACGAAGCTAGATCGGATGCTCCGACGAGAGTTCCGTTGCTGGATACTTGGAGATACTGTTCCGGACTTAGCGGAACCTTGAAAGCGTGATCTTATAGATCGGCCGTAGGTAGTCCAGAATCCCTTGTCCTTACTATCACAGGCAAGAGTGTCTATGTTATGTCTAGGATCGCGAGGGTTGTACAGCGGATAATGGATTCTCTCTTCGCATGTAATAGTTGTTATATTTTGGTCCCTATGAGGCCGACTGGACATCAGAAACAGAGACATCGAGGTGATGTCTAGAGGGAACTTACGGCTCTTTGGACGGAGGTGAGGTAGTAAAGAGACCAGCCAGGCTTCGACGGCGATGGAGGTCTTTCTTTACACGTCGCGACCTCAGTGAGGACTGCGTCTTAGACGCGTCTTCATCAAGTCGGCAATCAGGACTGGAAGTCATTCGCCTCCAAATGGAAGCCATCGAAACTAGCCCCCCTTATATATAGGGTATTTATATAGGGTAAAACTGGGTGAGCAGGAAAATAGGCCAGCTGAACGGCCACTTGCTCGTGCACTGGCGAATCCGAAGGGATAGAAATAGGGAATAACAAGGATGATATAGCTAGATAGATACCGAAAGCAGTATTCAGGTAGTTGAATACCTACAGGTTCTTATAGTTTTGGGTATTAGGAGAAATAGAACAGTAGGAATGGAGTCAGAGAACTCGTGGAGATTCCTGGATGAAGAGATACAAAGACCAGAGCGAGAACGACGCGAAAGAGATGATGAAGAAGACGAAGAGGAAGACAACGAAGAAGATGAAGCACCGTTGGATGAGGCTCAAAATCCGAGGCCAGAACGACGAGCAGGACATGCTCGATTAGGAAAGAAGAGAAAGTTTCCAGGGGGCTATTGTCTGTGTGCTGGAGCTACCTCGCGACAAGTACAAATTGGTATGCACCAGGAGGTACCTAGGCGTGGCACTACATATCACTCCAAGTTCCTATGGGATGCCAGAGAATAGCAGACAGCCCCTTATATATCTCGGGTTATATATAGTGGCGTTGGTGTATTACTCTCATTCATGGCCTTGTTTGACATATCTGACAATGAGAATCAGAAACGCCTGTTCCTCTAAAATACTTTCGACGCGCTTTGTTGGAACAATCCACTAGCCAAACACGGTTTAGCGCCCGCAGGCTTAGCCGCCATGAAGTTTTACCCCTTTTGGCCACAGCATATCACATCTATCATCCCTACGAACAAGCTAGCAATTCATCTGCTAGAAATACAATCACTAACTAGTCCACTTCTCTCGATCAACCCAACCCTGCCCTAATTTCATAGCAGAAATCCAGTTTCAGAGAAAAACTAATACTCCGCAACCATGGCCGCAGCCAAGGAAGCTGTCTCATTCGACGAGATTATCCAGGCTGGTAAGTTATGGAAAGCTCTTGCCAACACCTGCCCTTTGTCTATTCGTCTTCTTTTGTTTTGGAGTAGAGAATATATTCAAAAACTAACGCCTTTCTTTCTTTCTTTTTTTTGAAAACCTCTAGCCCGCACGCGACGTAAGAAGCAAGCTTTGACGGATAAATTCTTCGAGGCTAAAAGGCGTTCCAGCGCACCAGGTTCGGGGCCAGGGTCAGGTTCAGGCGCAGGCGCGTTGGCCAACAGAGTGTCTGTAGTACCTGGCAGCCTTGCAAGTAGAGTGGGCATTGGAAAGGTACTCCTTTCTTTTTATTAGACGTTAGAACCTAGGCTCGACAACCCCAAGTAGCTAATAAGATACCCAGAGATCAGCTGCGCCGGTAGCGACGAGAAAACCGGCTGTGCCGACTCGTCCCGCCAGAAAGAACCGCAAGTTCTCCGATCTCATTACACAAAACAGCGGCCAAACGACCATCACGGATCGGGGACCAGGATTCAGCAAAGGAAGCGTGTCGGGACCTTGCGTCGTGCTGGGAAGTAACTTTGCGCCCGGCACCACCGCTGCAGATATCGTGTCCGCACTCGAACCAGTAGGAGGTGCAATTCTGGGCTGCAGGATTGTGTCTACGCACCCGGAAGTGACAGCTGAGATGACTTTTGAGGAAGGGAGTGGTGCTGAGAGCGTAGTTGCACGATTCAATAATCAAAAGGTATAGCGCATGTCACTTTACTCCATATCTGGTGTTGGTTTAGCTACTCCAGACAAACTAACACAACTTCAAGGCGGATGGAAGGATCCTCCATGTCCGGATAAAACCAGGACTGCAACCCCCTCCACAAATACCCGCCGAAACGAATACAGGCAGACTACGCCACCATCGGTCACAGCCCACTTTCGATAGCCTCCGCGAACAAGCGGACCGTGAGCGCCGCGAGCAACGACGCGCTGACCCCCAGGTACAAGACGGCCGTTACGGCTTCGATGATCGATCTCAGCAGCAACAGCACGCCGGAGTCGGTCGTGGAAGTAGAGATCAGCGAGGAGGTAGTGGATCAGGGAGGGATCGAAGCATGGGAAATGGCCGTGATACGGGACTCTACAGTGATCAAATGGTTATAGATGAACCGAGCCACGACTCACACTACCATGGGAGACGCGGGAGATAGTAGCTGTTTATGATCAGTTTTTCAATAACTCCTTGTGTTTGGCGATCATGGTATATGCCTGTTTTAACATTACGTCATGGAACTAACGAGACCGGGGCTATGGAGCCGTCATGGAATTTGGAGGATAAAAAGTATATGGGGCGCGAAATTTACGAATAAGTCTATATATTTTTAATTATTTCCCCCCTTTTTTTGGTTTGGTAATGGGCGCATATAGTTACCGGCTTCAGGTTTGATTACTTTAGCATATCAGAAAGGAGAAGGGGCTTGTCAGGTAGATTTTCTATTTTGTAAACTGAAATTTCATTGTATTGTATAATGAATTCATGGGGTTACTATGCGTGAACCTCTTTTGTCCTCTTGGATTTTTATATTTTTATTTTTATTCCTTACATTGGCGGATCCCCTAGTCGTGGATGGGCGAAGAAGGAACATTATAGTTTACAATCCAAATCAATGAAATTGAAATCATAGTAAGTATTATAAAAAGTATTTGATCCTGGTTTCCGTGCTTCGCGATGCGCGACTAAAATTGCGAGCGGGCGAATCTAGCGGGACCCAAGCCGCATATTTCTCGGTCTCCGAACTGTGAACTCCAAACACAAATTCCTCTCCTCCAAAAGCCTCCGCGCGGAAATTACACATACATCCGCCTACAGGAAAGCCACGGGGCTCGTTCAAAAATGAGCAATGGATCCGCTCTCCTGCTCTTAACGCGCCTACCAAAGGTTGGCCGGTTTCCTCAGTTGGCTGCTTCCAATGCGACAGTTCCTGTGCGATGGTCCTCCACCGCCGTCCCGAGCTCGACGACTCCACGACAATGGTCAACGCCACTGGCAAAATCGCTTGGTGAAGCTATAAGCGTACGTATCTCTTCCCATAATCCTATCCGATATTTCTTTAATAACAAAGAAAAGAGATGAGAATGAATTGATCTTCTGCTAAACGAGCTTGAATCCCACAGGTCACCGGCCCAGTATCCATCGCAGCGTACATGCGCCAATGCCTCACCTCCCCCGATGGCGGATATTACACCTCTCGCGGCCAGGAGGCTGAGGATACTGAGCTTTTTGGCACCAAGGGGGATTTCGTGACGTCACCGGAGATTTCTCAAATTTTTGGCGAGCTGTTGGGTATTTGGACCGTTGCGGAGTGGATGGGACAGGGGAGGAAGAGTGGTGGGGTGCAGATAATTGAGTTTGGACCGGGCAAGGGGACACTTATGGGGGATATGTTAAGGGTGAGTTTTCATTTTTGACTTTTTCTCTAATGGCATTTTGGGTAGTTTGGGATGTGGGCGATTGCTAATGACTTGGGGTGATGTCCATGGCAGTGCTTTCGAAATTTCAAGAGCTTTGCGTCTACGATTGAGGCTGTTTATCTGGTAGAAGCCAGCCCGGTGCTGCGGGAGGTTCAGCGGAAATTACTCTGCGGAGATGCACCTATGGAGGAGGTTGAGGCTGGGTATAAGAGCAAGAGTATACATCTGGGTGTCCCGATTGTTTGGGCAGAGCATATCAGTTTCCTCCCAGATGGTAAGTATATATTTCCTGCTCGACCCCATGGCATATCTATAGATGTTTGTGAGCATAATTGATTATTCCTCTCGCCTATCATACATCTAGAACCCGATAAAACCCCCTTCATTTTCGCCCACGAATTCTTCGACGCCCTACCCATACACGCCTTCCAATCTGTAGAAGTACCATCTCAGCCCCAGACCATTAACTCGCCCACTGGTCCTATCACTCTCCACCAATCGTCCGCTCCCTCTTCCTCCACTACCACCCAATGGAGAGAACTCGTTGTCTCGCCCAACCCAGAAACGCCAGAAGTGAAAAGCAGCAAGGAGCCCGAATTCCGCCTTTCACTCGCCAAGGCATCCACACCGTCCTCCCTCATCCTCCCCGAAATGTCGCCCCGGTACAAGGCCCTAAAATCAACTCCAGGGTCCACAATCGAGATCAGCCCGGAAAGCCAAACGTGCGTCCAAGACATCGCAAAGCGGATAGGAGGTGCGTTTACCTCCCCATCCTCCCCAGCGGCCACGGACGCGAAGAAGAATAAAGTCCCTTCCGGCGCCGCTCTTATCCTCGACTACGGCACCACCTCTACAATTCCCATAAACTCCCTCCGCGGCATCCGGAAACATCAGCTCGTTTCCCCCTTTGCCGCTCCCGGCCAGGTTGACGTTAGCGCCGATGTGGATTTCACGGCGCTGGCGGAGGCGGCGATTGATGCTAGTCCCGGCGTGGAGGTGTATGGGCCGACGGAACAAGGGGCGTTTTTAGAAGCCTTGGGGATTTCGGAGAGGGCGGCACAGTTGCTGAAGAAGGTGGAAGGGGAGGGCGATGAGGAGAAGAGGAAGCGGATTGAGAGTGGGTGGAAGCGCTTGGTGGAGAGAGGGGGGGGGGGCATGGGGAGACTATATAAGGCTTTGGCTATTGTGCCAGAGAGTGGGGGGAAGCGGAGGCCTGTTGGGTTCGGAGGGAGTGTTTTAGGGTAAGGTAAACCTTTTTGGAGGGTTTGGTTTGTATTTATATATGTAATTTCGTATGTATTATATATCCTTGATGTATTTTAATGCTGGATCTCTGGGTTTTTGGACGAATAGGGGCGGCAAAGATGGGTATCGTATTGAGTATTTCCCTCATGCTGGAATAACTAACCAATTCCAATTATCATGAGAAATCTTGTATTTTCAAAGATCCTATCATCTATCAGAGCTTGTTGTATAGGAAGCCACGAAGTTCTCTATAGAATGATTGGAGGAAGAAACAGCATCCGTTGTTGGAATGGCTCATGTCGAGCTTGTCTTGGCCGCCGGTTAATACTATTTCAACCCAGTCTTCGAATAATCGCTGTTAGGGACGTATACTAAGGAATGAAGATGTTTTGGCAAACCTGTGCGGGCTAGAAATGAAGGTAGTCTTCTTCCGCGTTTATTCTTTTTTTTAAACCATTGATCATCGTCCAGTGCCTATCGTGGCCGAAGTTCCGCAGTTGACGATTCGCATCGCGAGCCTCCAGGCGGGTGTAAACGAAACCAAATATTAAAACGTCGCATAACAGTTGTATATCGCGTAAAAAATTAAAAATAATAATTAAAAATAATTAAAAATAATAAAAATAAAAATTTTAAAAAAATACAACAACATCCTCCCTCTAGTGTAGGGCCCCTCAATCCTCCCAAATATCCTTAACATACCCCTGCGTCAGCCGTTGATCCTCCCCATACTTTTCCTGCCACCGGACAAAGCCCCCATCTAAAACAAACACGGTCTGCTTAGCACTCTCTTCCTTCCCCAGTACTTGTTCTCGTTCTCGTATGTATTTGAGTGCCGCAGAGGGACCGCGCTCTTGGCTCAGCGCGCAGTGGAAGACGACTTTCTCCTTGTCGCGTAGCGAGTTGATGAGCTCCGGCATGTGCCGGCCGAGAGTCGCGCTCGGCTGCCAGGTCGAAGTGAAGATGTGGCCGCCGACGTGATCTATAGCAATGACATTAGAGTCAGTAGGGTGGAACGGTTGTCGGTTGTGCTGTGAGCTTTAAAAAAAGAAAGGTGGGGGGGGTTGTTTGGAGAGGGGTATGGGTATCCGCGGGGTAAACTAAGGAGGATTATTCCTTTCTGTTGCGCAATATGCTTCTACGCCCATACAAAAGAAGAAAAGATAGGGCAAAAACTAGGAATGGAAACAGCTCTTACCTGAATCCCGTACATCTACTATCGCGAGTGTATTGGCGTTGGTAGGCGTGAGTAGCATGGCCGCGAGGGTATCGCGGCTCATCCGGGGTAGGTTGGCGATGGTGACGCGCGACATTATTGTGCAAAGTGAGGGAGACAATGAATAACGATGGAATTAACAGTAGATGAACGCTATGATAAGGAAGAAATCTAAAAGAATGAAGGTATTTTCATTTATTTGTTTCTAGTGTAAGGTAAGAAACGCGATTTTTGAATGTAGATGACTAACGACGGAGTAACTAAATAACGGTGAACGCGGTTAGAGGAAAGTTGAACATGAACATGGTTAGAAAATCAATGCTCGACTTCTGACCATGGTTTGGATTTATGACCTGTTTTTGAGTTAGTTTATTTATTTAATTAATTATTTATTGTTTTTTTGTCCTAACCTTAACTTCCGCGGGAACTCCGATATCATCATCATTGTTCAAGGTAAGTTAATTGTATAAATAAATATTTCTATAGTTACACGGGCTTGGGCTCATGTATTATTTACTCGTCAATTCGTGCCTGAGCCACGCGTTTCCCACAATACTCCCTCCTTGCGACATCCATATATATATATATATACCTTCTGCTGACAAGTGATCTTCTATCATCCAAAGAATCCTGCAGAATATGTCCTCATCGACCTTCTTACAGCGGCCCAAGTGATGCTCAAGATGATCAAAGAGAAATATACCGCCTCCCGGCATTTCCTTCCCCAATGACCATAATAAAACAGTATATACAGCGCCGATTCTCAAACCGCGCTGTCATTCTGTCCTTACCACCAATTCGACGCTGAGAAGGCCATATCTCAGAGCTCAAAGTTAAGGAACTCCGTCATCAATTTCCGGGATGAGAACCCCTAGCTCTATATTCAGTCTGCTTGAACTTACCACCTCTCAAATTCGGAGAAGGGGAAATGGCGGTAATTCTAATTGATTGAGTAATGGGCTTTGGTTAAATAAACACCATAAAAGAACTGAATGGAGGGAAGGGAATGAATTGAATTGATATCGAAGACTATATGCAAGTAGCTATGTTAACTCCAGACTGCACCTGGGCTGTTTCTAGCACTACTTCAGGCCTAAATCTGTAGTATCAAGTGAGGGTGAGATTCATATTTTGAAAAGTTGAATGGACCTTTCTCATCGTTGTCATTTTCCATTCTATGCCCGCATGAAGCCCAAAGGCAAAGAAAAACCCAGTCTATAACCATAACCAATAATCTAATAATAGTGATAACGAACTCCTGGAAGTCAACATGAAAAACAACCTGGCAAGCGCTGTACAAGAACCTCCTGATGTCACCATGAAGATAATGATATTTAATAACCATTTACCCAATCATCTCCTCATCAGTCACAATGCCATCCTTCTCCCCTCCCGCTCCCCCCTTCCCATTCCCATTCCCACTTCCACCCTCCAACCCCTCAAGCGGATTCAACACCGTCTCTCCCCTCCCCTCAGTGGCCGCCAGCTCCCGCACAGCCTGTGCCCGCCTCTCCTCCACCACCCGCAGCTCATCAGGCAACCACATCAACATGCGCCTCATCGCCTCCTCCTCCCTCGTCAACCACGCAAGCTTCTTCTCCGCCGCCTCGCGCGCACTATCCAGCCAGGCAAACTTATCCTCCACGCTCTTCTCCCAACTATCCAGCTCTACCTGTCGTGTTTCCAGCGCGCGCAGTTGGGCTAGGAGGTCCTGTCGCCGTGCGGTTCCCGTCTGTTTCTGCTGGTGCTGCTGATGGTCATCGTCGCGGCCAGAGAAGCCAGAAATGCCACACATTCCTTCCATCACCTCGAACCCAAACATGCTAGGCCCGGGCTGTCCCGCATATCTAAAGCTCGCATCATCGTCAAAAGCAGTAGCATTGCTTCGATTGTCCAGCGAACTCAGGGTCGTGGAGAATTTGCCCGGCTCCCTTTTCCGCGCTTCATCTAGCTTTTGGCGTTTATGGCTACTGCTACTACTCTGATTCTCTGAAGGGGAGCGGGGGTGTACTCTTCCCGATGCCTGGTATATGTACGATCTTGGGTGCTTTTGTGGGAGCGGCGGCGGGTATTCAAGGGACGCGTCTCTCTCCACTTGCTGCTGCTGCCGCTGTGATTCGGCTTCTAGCTCTTGTTTTGTTGAATCTATTGCTGCGGCGGGAAGGGGTTCGATCTTTTTCGGTAGTGTCGGACGCCTTCTCTGTCGTTGAGGGAACCGAATCATCTTTATTTTTTATTTTTTTTGTCTGTTCTAGATGGAATTTTGTTAATAAAAGAGCCGAGAGAGGGTAGGATATCGTTGAGACACGGTAAGTACGAGATGGAAGAAGGTATGTTCATGTTCGTGTTTCATATTCACTGGATGAAATGTCTCGAAGTTCTAATCCACAGGGACATAATTCACTGTACGCACCTTTCAAAAAACAAAAAGTACAAAAGATGCTGGAATTCAATGAAGGGGTAGAGAATGTGATTGTGATTCCTCCCGTAAACGCATATGTAGAGCGTTTGGGGGGAGGGCGGCGGGGGGCGGGGGATGGCGACTGTATGGGATGTAGACGTGCGCACCGGCGGGTACTTTGATAGATATAGTAAATAACTATACTTCCCTGTTCATCGTATAAGATATGGAAAATATATATATATTCGGCGTATTCCCTTCACTGCAGAATCAAAAGAGACCGTCTTAGAGACGGGGAAACAATATCGGGGTGAGAAGGGGAGATAAAGGAAGGAGCTGAGAGCTCTAGAGATTCACACACACACATACACGCTATGGCTTGCCTCGCATACAACCTCTATGCTTCCACCATCTTCCCGTATGATCAGCTATATAGTATTGCTGTAAAATCGCCGAGGTAGGTAGGTAGGTAGGTAGGTAGGTATCTTTGAAGTGTGTGTGCTGGGTAAGTCCAAGTCTACCCAGCTAGATATATCAGGGGCAGCCATGTCTGATAATAGCATTGTGGATTTATCTGCGTTCGCGCCTTTGGTCCCCTGGGTCGGGTCGTGTGCGAGGAAACAACCGCCATTGGGGCGATGAATATAATCGAAAGGGTATATCAACTCATGAATTCATGATATACGATCTTTGATTTCTAGTACATGTGGACAAGACATGTACGTATATATGCGCCACCGGCAACACAAGGGATGACAGCAAACACCATAAAAGTTAAAAAATAAGAACAAGGGAAGCATTAAAACAGGGAATAAGAAAAATCCGCACTAGATACGAAAAGCCGATAACCCTCTCTACCGATAAACGCCCGAAGCCCTCGCAATCTCCTCCACAGACCTCCTCGCAAAATCCGCCACATCATCCCCCCCCTTCCTCCGGTGTGGGCTGCGCGAATGATGCCTCCCCTCCCTGCCCCCCGCCAAAAACTCCTCATGCTCAATATTCTCAAACGAAACATCACTCCGATTCTTCCTCAGCCCCGCTCCCCGCTCATACTCATCATACCCACTACTCCCATACGCCAAATCATCCTGATCACTACTAACCCCGACACCCCTCGGATCCAACCGCAGGTTCCGCTGCTCGCGATCAAACGCCGATAAAAGGACCCCAAGCCGCTCCTTCTGCGACGCGATATACTCCGCCTGCTCCGCCTTCGACGCCGTGGCAATGCTATCAGGAATCAGCTTGCCGCTGGCGCTAAGCTCCTCAGCCTGCATGTCTCTGGTTTTCCCCGAGGCGGCTGCTGACCCCACAGCGGTGGCCAGCAGGGAGTACAGATCCGCAGCGGGGCCGGCAAGTGAGGATGCGGCACCCGCGGCGCCAGGGATGGTGAAGCGGGATAGTAAGGATTGGGCGAAACCCGCTGCTCCGGCTGCCGGCGGTGGTTGCGGGGGAGGAGGGGCGGTGGTGGGTAGGCCGAGGACCTTTTCGCGAATGAAGTCGATGGCTTTGTAGAGGTACTCGAGGCCGGCGGATTTGGCGCTGTCGTGTGCTTGGCTGATGAATTGTTCGATTTCACGCTCGTAGAGGAGGAGGAAGGGGTCGATGTATTGCTGGTAGAGCAGCTTGGCGCCTTGGGTTTGCGGGAGGACGAGGTAGGAGAGGGCGAAGAGGCGGATCCAGCTGTAAAATGGGAACCTGTATTGAAGTGCGCCGGGGTTAGTGTTTACACAAAACAGAACAAGTACCTAACGTGCCGGGGGTTTGATTGGGTGTTTTCTAGCACTGTAACATACCATCTGACGATGAAATATGTCCAGGATTCAACCAGCAACACTATAGACATTACAACCCAATACATAAGCCATGGTGCCAATTGGGAAGGGTCGGAGGTTCGGAGTGCTTTGTAAGATGCGAAGATAGGGAAGAGGATGGTGAGCGCGGAGCTATAGGCGAAGCGGAAAAAGAAGTCCGGTCAGTATTTTTGATCGCTAGGAGGCTTATTGTGGGCTTGATCGTAAAACCTTTAGAGCTATATATATAAAACCAGAGCTCCAATATCAATCAGGTCAAGCATCAGAGAGCGGGAGACTCACGATAGTAAATCCGCAATGATGCCAAACATTGTAGGCAGATTGGCCAACCGGTCTAGGATTAAAACAGAAAAAGAAAAGGGGAAAAAAGAAAAGAAAAAAAAGAAAATATATAGGATCCCAGATCTTGCTTCAATGGGAATATATATACTCCGTAGAGCCCTAGAAAAAGACAAGCAGGGCGGAAGTGTAGAAGCGGAAGACTGTGTAGTTTGCAAGAGCGGCAGAGTCAAGGCCAGAATAATAATCGAGACCCGCTGCAAAGACAGCTGCTAGATCACCGGATGTGTCCCTTAACCACCCTGTTTCTCCAGAACTATCGCGAGTAATAATCGCTGGCAGCGAGGGAATGTGTGATGTGATGGGCAGCGGGGGATGGATCTGGCTGGGGGGGGCTGGGGCTTTTTGGGGGGGGGGGGTGGAAGTTGAACCGTTATAGTTAGTTGCTTGTCGTCATAGGGTTTGCTTGGGGGTTGAATTAGGTTAGTCTAGCGCTTGGCCCAGTCGGTCGGGAGACTTCCCGTTTGGCCTCGGCTATTAACTTAGGGCTGGGCCTTGCTTGGTAGCTGAGAACGATTTGTATAGCCTGTCATAGCTATATCTATCTATACAATACCGCATTAATGTAGGTACTTGCCTTGTTATCCTTGGGGTCGCACTGACACTCAAATTGGCCATGGCTAGTTACTACTATATAGTATGGAAGTTTCATGTCACGGAACGAACTACTCTCTATATTTTATATGCCACTCATTCACCTTGACTAGGTGCTGAATGCTAGTAAGGATATAATGATAAGAATATAACTCGCCGCTTATGACTGAAATCCGAGTTTCATAGGGGCCTGCAAAATATTTGCTTTGTGAGGACTGGATATCATTATAAAAAAAAATAAAAAAAATAAGACATTAATATTAGAGTTATATCATATCAGAAAACATAGGGAATCATCTAGAACTCGGGAATCGTATATAAACAGGAAACCATTTGGAAAAGCACTGGAAACCACCCAAAACCTGTACCCAAAACCATCCGAAGCCGTTTGAACTCAATAAATCAATATACATCCTCTTCCATGGACAGTATCTATAAATAAACATCAAAAGGGGCATCGTTGAAAACAAACAAAAACAAACAATATGAAGGGAGTAAGGCTTTTAACCGGGGATCTTGAAAAAAGAGAAAAAGAAAATAGAAAAAAGAAAACCAAAAGAATAAAACAAATAAACCCTCACACAATCATCTCGAACTCTCTTCCTCAGCCGACGAGATCGATAGCTTCTCCGCATCCTCAAGACTCTGAGTCTTTCCCAGAACGGGGTCACGGAGCAATACGGCAAAGACGACCAACAGCACACTGAGGCAAATACCAGTAATGCACAGCAGCCTTTGGACATGACGATAGGCATCAATAACGCCATCGCGGACTGGCGTGCCAACGGGATATTCCGAAGCAAATCCAAACGGGTTGCCGTATATCGTGCCCGCGTCAATAATGTCACCGACTCGGTCCTTGATAGTGCCCGGAAGCACTTGGTTCCAGATTGCGCCAGAGATAGCGTTGCCGACTGCGCTGCCGATGTTGTAGCTTGCGAGGTACAAGCCGGTGATAACGGCCACGTCTATGTGAAGGGTTAGTTGGATTTGTAACAAGGGTGCCTTTTGATTGTGGTTGTTGTTTGTTGTCACGGACTGAGGAAGAGAGGGGGTACTTACGTTCATGTTTCGTTGCAGCTTGGATACTTGCTTGGGCGGAATAGGGAAATAAACCCCCAGCTTTGAATAGGAGATTAGCATTGTCAATATTAAATCTGGTGGGGGGTGTTTTGGGGTTGAATTGAGCTGTGAGTTGGACTTACCAATACCGAGCAAGACCTGAGCACCAATAATCCCGGACTGATTAGCTCCGCTCGTTCCTCCACGGAAGTAAATGAGGAGACCGAATGCCACGATGAAAAGAAGTGTTCCGGAGATGATAAGGGCCTTAAGCCGGCGAATCTTCATGACAAGTAGGCCGGCGATACAACCTGTGATGACAGATGCAAAGCTGTACAGGGACGTGATACGGGTGGCACTTTTGATTGACTCGTCAAAGGCAACAATTAACACCGTAAACAGGAAGTCTCCCTGAAGATACCATGCTGTGGAATGGTAAAGTAAAAAAGGATGGAAGATTAGCCTAGGCTCCAGAATCTTTCAGAGAACTTGAGTGGTCCTTACCGGTGTTAAGCATCATTGCAAGTCCAAGAGCAGCCCAGACCGCGCGGTCTTTCAGAAGCTGGGAGCAAAGCTGTGTTAGTACTTAAAGAAGACGGCAAATATCGAATATAAATGGTGTGAGGGCTTACTTTAAATGGAAGCATGGGATGTTTGCAATTCTTTTCCCAGAGAATGAAGGCAGGAATGCAACAAAACCCAACGACAAGTGGTGCGATCACCTTGGCCTTTGCCCATTGGGTCTCTACTCCACCGGCAAGAGTAAAAGGGACAAGGATAAGCGCCAAAATGGCAATCAAAAGGATGATGCCGATTACATCCAACTGCCAGAAGAGAGCTTTTGAAAGCTGGCGAGCACCCATAAGCTCATACGAGCTTTTGTACTTCTCAAGAGCGCCATCTCTCTTTGCTCTTCTATGGACGATGAATAGAGATATGATCAAGGGCAGGCAGCAAACTATAAACTATGTTAGTTTTCTTTTCTGATCCTACTTTTCCCTTTGCGCGGAGAGTAGATTGTAAGGATGGAAGTTAAAATACCTGGGTAAATGATTGCCCACATTCCAATACCCCATTGCCAAGTTGTAGTGGCCAAAACAGCATTCGTGACATCTCCGCTCACCCACGTATTGATCTAGGACCGGTTAGTGGATATTTTTGAACCCAGAACGAATCATCAAAGGTTCAAACTTACAAGGAATGGTAATGCGGGAATGTAAGAGAAAAATAGACGGGATCGAAGAGATGTTGTGTCGGCAATCAGAACCTCTACAAGCAACATGATGCCAGTGTATCCAATCTTTTTGAAAAAGAAAAACCAGGGTTAGATTTTAGTGGGCACAAAGAGTTGCAGTGACATGGAACATATTATCTCACTTGATATAGGACAGCACCGGCGCAGAATGATTGCACATTAGTCGCGCAAGCTTCAACAATGGTACCTATAATTATCGTAAGCTAAATCTGCAAGTAGAAGCATTTTCCGTCAAAGTGAAGAATATCACGTACCAATGATATAGAATACAATAGTAACAGAGATAACCTCCGCGCGACCAAACACATCAGCAATTTTTGCGATGGTTGGCTAGATATGGAGTAATCAGTATCACAGTATCTATATGCTTGACTAAAGAAGGAACATACCTGGGCAGCAGCACCAATGACGCCTCGTAGAACATTAACTGTTGCTAACAAGCTATGTTCGGCATATGAAGCAACGGCATAAGGCTTTTGCGGTGATATTCAGTTAGTACTTTGGATTTTTCTCTTTTTTTTGGCAACAGATGCTCTCCAGTGGGGAAAAGACGTTGACGAACCTGATAGGTGTAACGAATCGTCCCGTCCAAGCCATAAGCATAGGCGAGAAGGAATATACCAAAAAAGAACATGATACGATCTGGAAGCGTGAAGTAACGAGAAATAACCTCGATCCGCGCAACACCAGGACTTTTCTCTCCCAGGAGAACCGGCGACTGGTCATCCTGGCCTGCGTTTCCGGGGTCAGCTGCAGGGTGCTTCTCTTTCATATCGACCTCCACCGGCTGCGGAGGCATGGCCTCCTTGCTGTCCTCAGCAGCTCCCATGGTGAATCAACGGAGAGTCGCGGAGTGAAAAGTCCAAGTAATTAATGAGACAGATAACAGTTAAAAGCAACTGTTGGATAGATAGGATTCGAGTAGTTATCGAATGGTTAGGTCTGGGTGGTTATTGCGCAGATGCGATCCAGGTAGTTATTGAGTAGAGACGATCAAGGTGGTAATTGAATAGACAAGATCCAAGTATTTACTGAAGTAGATATAGGCGAGTTGATCGACGTAAGCAAGCAATCCTTCGGTTTATGAAGAGGAAAAGAAACAAAGGGCCAATTCCGGGCTCGGATGCGGGCATGGGGCTGCATTTTAAAGATCCCTCGACGCATCAAAAGGAAACCAGGACCTGACAGCACTAGATAAAGCCGGTAAAACCCTAACATTGTCCTGTGTTTGGGAAGCGATCCAACAGGCTTTCTTCTTTTCTTTTTTTCCCTGCCTTGAGTTCAACCTTAAGCACAGCTGGGTTTTGTCGCGCATCTTCCTTCTACAGCAGGGAGCTTGGGAGGGGGGAGAAATTTTTATCAGATGCGGCTAGGCCTTTTCGGCGTATCTGATGGGAGATTGATAATGCCGCAGCCAACCAGAGGCCGAGATCAGTTTTCTAGCCCTGGCAAACTGGTGGCAAGCCCCCGCAGTACTTGACAGTAGCAGGGTTCCATGCGTTTAGTGCTGCTTAGCTCCTGAACTCTCCGTAGCATAGCGGCGTAGCTTCAGAAACTTCCCAGACCGCGAACTCAATCCAGTCCAACGATCGGCTCGCTTGCGGGATTATTATGCATAGTCATAGAATACCCCTCCGTCAATCCAAGTTCCTCGGTCAGAATAAACACGTTTACTGATGTGATGTGACTGCAGGGAAGAGCGGTGGTATTGTGGGATCGAGGCCTTTGAGCCACCCAGAATCCTACATGTACATGTACATGTACAGTACATCATGTATACATGACTACCGAGGTCTGAACTGCCAAATCGCCATCTATAGCCTACATGTGACCGCAAGTTGAAACCCAAAGAGGTTAAAATAAATTAACTTGGAACTATGTGTGTTGAGATCGGGCTATTATTTATTTGCTTGTCGACGATGTTTATGCGGGCAGAAGGTTAGGGTTTGCGCAACTCTAACCCTAATCAGATCCTGTAACTAGGGCTCTGACGTAACTAGTCAACTGGGATAAGCTCTTCCAACGCCTCCAACCACGGAACTCTCAGTAATATATGGGCCGACAATTATTAACTACTGCAACAAAAGCCTAATTCGCAGTCGGAAAAAGCTAGACTTCATTTTTATACACTTTTTGCCTACTAGTAGGTTGCCCTGGAAAGGATCTCTCGAGGTTGTGCACCCCATGCCTACCCTACCTAGAACATACCGTTGAGCAGGTATGCTCTGGCTTCATCGTTCCAATAGGTGAGGAGATACATTTCAGCAGTGAATGAAACTTAACGCTCTTAGAGAGTTAATTACTCGGGAATCTTCTAGAGTTTAAATATAGGATTCTATCTTGGATCGAGTTTGCTAACGGCGGTTTCGATGAGCGTTATATTGAGCGTTATACAGGATTGTTCGTATTACCTTCTAAATACCCCAGGAACTGGATACCTTTGTCACGCGAGAAAGTATCATTTTATGGAATTCTCAACGCCATATACTCTCGCAAGATTCCTACTATTTCCTCCTTCCCCTCTCCTTGACTTCGGCTGCTAATCATAACACCCGGATCAGTAACCAGTCTAGACCGATTCATGGAGCTCCGTGTCTGCCCTCTCTCGATTTTCGTGTCCTGTGGATTTTGAAGGATTAGGATTTCCAATCCTTTCAATCCTCTGGTTTCGGACTCACGAGTGTCCAGGGAAAAATAATAACAACAACTTTGATCTAAAGTGAATTTTCTCACAATATTATCTTCCAAACGCTATGCGGATGATAAATTTTGCATGATTGAGTTTTTATGCCAACGTTTTATGACATCAAATCTAACCCTTTGCAAATATTCCACGATGATGTGAGGATCTGATAGTTCTCGATGGGGAATTTGGGTTCGACTATCATAGGTAATTCGTGGCGCGCAGCTGAAGGAAGCTAGCTACATACATGTAGCTATGGCCGACGGATGGGGAAGAACTGTACTCTATTTAAACTTCTGCACCGTTCTCAGATTAAAAGTCAAAGTTTGGCGATTTGGGTTGTCGCCATCGTCCACGGGTGGTATATATATGTCGTCAAATTTCGTGCTGGCAGAAAACATACTTTGACTCGGGAAATAGATTATCCCGCTGACTGGAATCGGAGTGGTTGAATCTTGTTCAAATAAGAAGGGCTGGACGAGGGAGTGCAGAAGAAGGATGGAGAAATGTCGATTAGCACTAACTTGTCACTAGGCTTGTGTGTCGTGAAATTCTCACCTGCGGTGTACTGATGATGCCTTCAGAATGTAATTCCCTTGGTGTCATTTGCATCCCCTATCTTCGTTACGGCGTTGATGGCTGAATGGCGAAACCCAACTAGGTTGTGATAATGGGTCAAAACAGAAATGGAAGTAAAATAAATTACTATTAGTCTTCCATTTATACCAGCCTAATGGCTTGATAATCATAGCTATAGCTATAGTTATGTCCTGTTTATCTGTTGATGATGGTTGCATGATGCGGTAGATAAGATAAACCTGGCATAAATTGTCTTGGCACCAGCAGAATAACCAACGTCATTGAATGCATCAACATCCCTCCTTCTCCAGCCCATATAACGCATACTATAGACAAACCAACCTGGCTTCAATATAGACTGTGGCCCATCTATTTTTCCATAGCTTTCCTGACAAGCTGTATTCTTCCACTGCCTAACACTCATTTCTGCGACTCCTTCAACCTCGGCAGGCCAACCCAGAAGCCAAGAGAACGCCACTCACGAGCGCCTCGCCCGACTTGCAACCGCGCAATTCCGCAACAACTTGTTTCCACGACACATAGCTGCTTATCGTCAGTTTTTTTTTCTTTTTTTTCTTTTTTTTCTTTTGTTGACTCTAAGCCCGGGATTTAGAGTGGTGCCATTTGTTCTCAGAAAGCTTCTCTATAAATAGCGGGCTCTAGGAAATCTGCCAGCGCACACCAAGTACCGGCCCTTTGTGGCATGTGGGAATATTAACTCTGACCAATTTGTTGTACCATATCTGCTAGAATTTTGTCTGCCTCGTATATTAACAGTCGATAGAAAATAGACATCTAGACAGAAAAGAGAGGGAAAAGGAAAAAAACCGCAAGAACCCTTTTAGGGAAACTCATTTCGACGCACTACGTTCTTCCCCGGTTTCGACTCCCAACAATGTGCATAGCTCTCGTTTCAACCGCTCACCCCTCCTACCCACTAATTCTAATCGATAATCGGGATGTATGTATAAGATCTCCCTTGATAAACCCTCCCAATTCCTATACTCATCACGCTTACCCAGACTGTCCCAAATGTCTCTAATGATATCTTATATCTATACCATACTAACATCAACTAGGAATTCCTCCACCGCCCGACAGCCCCCGCAAGCTGGTGGCCCGACGGCAAATCCCATGTCCTAGGTTCTCGAGACCTAGCACGAGAAGTCCACGGAACCTGGCTAGGTGTCACACAGCAAGGCCGCATCGCGGTGCTGACAAACTACCGCGAAGACCCCGATAAGCAAGTAGTGGGCGTGCGTAGCAGAGGCTCCATCGTCAACTCATTCCTCGAATTGCCTCCAGACAGTACAATAAGCGCCAAGGAGTATGCCGAGGAGCTGGTTTCAAGCGGCGAAGCCCAGCTGGCTGGCGGCTTCAGTCTGGCCTGCGGCAACGTACGGGGCCCCTTGGCTGTTGTGTCCAACCGCGTCTCGGCAGCGGATGGTATTGAGTGGATAGCAACTGAAAAGGGGCAGACGGTCGGGCTGAGCAATACGGCATTTGGAGACCGGTCGTGGCGGAAGATTGTGGATGGGGAGAGGCTTCTAAAGGAGGCGATTGATACCTCTGTGAAACTGGACGAGGGCGAAGATGCGTTTGTGCAGCGATTGCTGGGGTTGCTGAGTAGGGATACGCTACCGAGATTGCGCGAGGGGGGGAATTTAGAGACGTATATCAATCTGCTGCGCGAGAGTATCTTCATCCCAGTTATTGGGGACGATGCCGAGATTAAACATACCGTCGACCAAGTGTGTGCATCGAAGCTGCGGGAGAAGGTTGACGTGGTGGCTAATGGGCCGATGGATCATCATGCGTATATGAAGGGTTTGTATGGGACGCAGACACAGACGGTTGTTCTTGTGCATGAATCTGGGCGGGTGAAGTATTTTGAGCGGACGCTGTATAACGACCAGGCAGAGCAGATTCCCATTGGAAAGGGGGATAGATCCTTCGAGTTTACTGTTGAGGAGTAAATCCCTGCCCTTAAAAAAAAGAAAATCGGATTTGAATAAACCTAAGTGATCTATTCTGTCCATTGATTCGTGTACCCATTGAGCTACGAGGAGAGTGTACGATGAACTTTTTGCCTTTGGTTGGTTTGCTATGAAATAAAAATCCAATATTACTACTCCGTATGTAGGAAAGGTATGGAAGCCCACGAAGAAAAAAGCTCACCAGCAGAATTTTATCATTCCCAATCACACCTGCATGGCTAATATCAGGTCACCCCTTTTCAGCAACATTTTCTCATCTCTTTGCCCCCTACAAGCACCACAACTCACCCCTCCTCTGGCCCCCGCTTTCTTTCACCCTAATAAGACCTATTCCCAAAAGGAAGCGGGAAATAAAGGGCCTAGGCTCACCCAGCGAGACATCACTTCAATTTTGCCCTTTCTATTTCGCGAGAAAACGCTACACAGCATACCTATACCATACACCATCTAACAATACATTTACCAGAAAGAGACAATCGATATTTACCCGTTACAAAGAGAAAGAAAGGGAAAAAAAAAAACAGGCGAAGGAAGCAAGATCCTCTACATCTCTCTCTCTACTACCCCTTTTCTCCATCATAAACGCAAACGCGAACAATACGTGGTGTATACATTTTCAAAGAACGTGAATTGCCAGGAGACTTGCCAGATGAAAAGGGGTAAAAGAGGTATTCCTGTCATATATTGTATATTGTATATTGTATATTGTCTATACATATAATCTCCCTTACTCTGCCTAGTTGTTGATGGATAATGTTACAAATGAACAAAACCAATAAAGATATTTCACTTTTTTCCATTTCAACTCATCACTTCCTATTTTTTTGATTCTTTTTATTTTGATTTCCAAACCTGTTCAAGATTTCACTTTTGGTTTTTTGGGGCAGTTTTCATTATTGGTTCATCTTCTAGTATTTTTCGAGGGAACACACGTAGATGGGGAAAAGAGAAGAGGGCGATGGGTCAATTGATACGAGAGACTTTTGAGCTTTTAAGAAAAAATACACTTTGTCAATACATCATATATATATTCCCCTATGTTAAGGGGGCGATAAAGGAATAAAAATCCGACGAAAGGCATTTTTTACGAGGAACAGAGAGTATAATATGTATCTCTACATCTAGAACCGCAACGATCAACATCTCGCTACAGGGGGTTAACATGAAAAATCCCTCAAAGCATCACGTAACTACATAAGTGGTTGTATCACGGCATTCATTTACCTGAATCGCACCGAGGCTCATCCACCACGTCCGTCTGCAGTACAAGGATAGCTCATTCCCATATCCTATTCACATCCCCCCATATTACCTCCAACCCAACTCAAACCTTCCTCTTAATCAACCCTTTGAAGAAATCAAAACTGTTACTATCACTCTGCAACTCCCACATCTTTCCCGTGGGGCGGTCCTCCCACCCCAACTCCTCCGCCACAAGTAAGCCATAATCACCCGTAATTCCCTTGATACGCGCACGCACCCCACCTTCCGCCTCCAGGGTGACGATCTGATCCATATGCAGCCAGTCTGCGTAGTACGAGTCGAAGAAATACTGATCGAAGCCCGTGCGCAGGAATCGGGTATACAAGGACTCGAAGGTGGTGAGGATGCGGGCGAGGAGTTTCTCGAGGGTAAGTGGCGGTAGCTTTTTATTGGTGGGTGATTTTTGCTCGAGAGCGGATAGGAGGGCGTTTAGGGAGGTGGTCGGGGAAGGGTTTAGGGCGTTTATGCCGATGCCGACGACGGCGATGTACTCTGCGGAGGAGTAGTGGGCGTTTACGAGGATGCCGGTTATTTTTGTGTAGGATTTGGAGTCAGGTTGGGTAGGGTCCAGAGCGTCTGTGGAGTTAAATGGGGATTGGATTAGATGGTTATTAACGGAGAGCATTGGAAAGGGGAGGGGCGGGAGAGGCCATGTTTACAGATATCATTTGGCCATTTCAGCTTTATTGGCATATTTTCGTATCCGTTATCATAGCTCTTGATGGCCTGGGCGATAGCGATGGCGGCGATATACTGTATAAACACCACGGGAGCACGTGCCATTTTCTCAACGGCATGTTTGACGACAGCTGAAAACATTAGTTGACCGGATGGCGAGACCCAGACGTTAGACCCGCGGCCCCTTCCGGCCACTTGGACTGTTGCAGTAGCCACGAACCCATGTGGGAGTCTCCGTAGTAGTTGGGTGTTCCTATAGTTTGTGTAAGCAGGCGGACATTGCCTTTTAGAAGGAGAGCGAAAATCAGGGCGGGCTGTGAAGTCCATACTTCTCTAGGAGGGTACTTGTGCTCGTGACGACCTCTCCGTACAATATATTTGAGCCGAATTCGTGAATATGCTCTTTCGACTGTGCGCGGTACTCTTTGAGATTTCCGTAGAATGCGTGGTGGTTGAAGCAAGGGGTAGCCTTAGACGACGGAATGTCGTCATGGACAACTACTTCTTTAATAATAGAATTATTATCGACAACTTTGTCAGAATCGTCTCCTTGATCAGTTTTCGCAGTTTCTGCAGGTAGGGATTCAGCTAGGTCTCTCATGCCCATGGACGATGGTTTCTCGAGATGAAAAGTGTCCGCATCATCTTTGATATACTCCTCTCCATCAGTCACGGTAATGATATCTCGAAGGGCAGAGAGCAGCCCAACAACCCCCTGAGGACTCAGAGAGGAGAGATGCAGTCTGGATAACGATGGCACAGGGGCTGAGTCTTGGGTAACCTGAAGGCCCAACTTCGTCAAACAAGCCTTCAAAAACTCCACCCTCGCTTCATCGTCTGCAGCCAAGGCATCGACGACTTTATCATATTCGGGGCCATCTGCCTTCCTGTCGAGATTGGAAGCAGCAAACCTGGACTTCGTCAGTACCCAGCTATCAATCGGCTTTGCAGGGAATACAAACTCGGGATGAGCCCCAGTTAGAATTGCTGCCCCCTCGCCCACCTTACAGTAGACAATCGCAGCGGAGCCCTCTCCGGAATCCACGCTGAGATCTTCTGTGTAACTTGCAAGAACCTCTACACCCTGGTCCGCGTATTTAGGCGCATCAACAAAAACGCCCCCGCCATTATAATAAGCCTTGAAGACCTCCGGCACAGACCCAAACGCCGGTGCAGATTTTGATATCTTGAGCTCCGCGGCTCGAGCACCATACTCACTATCGTAAACAAATCCGGGAAAAGCGCACCCTCGACAGGTCCCGGGAAAGAAGGCCAGCTCCCTGTCACCGACAACTTCCAGTTTCTTGTTCCCGACCTCGAATTCACATCGTTTGCTGGCAAAGTAACCGCCAGCGCAAAACCCCAGGTATGCCCCACCCCGCTGGACGAATTGACCAATTCTCTGGTTACCTTCTCCGTTGAGAGTCCGACAATACGGCAGGTCCGCGCCACCGGGCATTACCAGCAGCGCGCAGGAAGCAGTCCAAGGCTCGTTGACGATCATCTCCCCCGTGACGGGGATCACGGCGTAGTTCGCAGACAGGAGCCGGCGGAGAGAGTAGAGACAGTGGCGGACGGCATCGACAGTAGTTCCATTTCCTGGAGCAGCGGGGGTCAGAATATTGCCTTTCCAATCAGAGTAGGTTTGCGCACCGGAGTAGACCAGCACGTTCAACCTTTTGGAAAGGAGGACGGGGTTGGTGGCCATTTTGTAGTAGTGAAGTAGATGGTTCCTCCGCGTGGTGGGGAAATTGTTCTAAGTACGAATCAATTTGTTTTATATCGATCTCCGGCCACAGAACCTCCACAGTCTTTACTTCTCTCCAAACCACAGCAAAAGAAACTTCCTCGCAATGTCCAAATCAGAGAACAATCCGCCGGTAACGCAGACAGTGGACGATGATGAACCTGATGAATGGTATGAACCCTCTCTTCTCCGTCTCCTGGGGCCAGGGAACAAGGTCTCCGCTTTGGACTGGTCGGCTAACGCTCCAATCCAATTCTGTAGGGACAAGCGGATCTTCAGCACCGGATGCGCAGGTAAGACGGCGACCCTTTTTAAAGACGGCAAGGGGTGATGCTAACGAGAGGCCATTGGGGACAACAGCGGAGCAGCTGAAGATGAACGATTGCTACTACGAGAAGAGAGACTGGCGAGCATGTAAAAAAGAAGTACGTCCAAGGCTTTTTGGCCGCCGAGCGCTTTCTCAACCCCGCCAGGCTATTATTTATGCGCCCCAGCTTAAACTCCAGTACATCCACTGTATCTCGTAACACATGCATGCTGAGTACATTAGAAGGCTATATAAATACTGACTTAGTCCTGTTTCAATCTACAGATGGAGGCGTTCCGGGAATGCTGGAAACGCCATGGCAATGAGCAGCGAACGGAGTCAAAAGACTCTTGACTGGAGGGAAAGGATAGGCGTAATTGGATCTGTGTAAAAGGAAATCCCCCACTCTGTGTATTATCTCTCTATGTATATTACTATTATATTCTGGTTTCCCCGTCTTTCAATTGATGTTTTCTCTCATAGAAATCTAAATATTTAACGCTTTTAATAAATATTTAAATATTTATCTCTATGTCACGGGATCTAGCTTCCACCTCCAAGCTCCAAAAAAACATCCGCAGCAATCGACGAGACACAACCCTCACAGCTTCAACACCACAACCACTCACTATCTAACCTGACTGACTGGCATTTACGTATCCAGCCAGCTCATCCCTTATAATGGCATCTCGTGCACTCCGCACAGTCAGTCGGACTGCAGAATTTCTCCACTCACCGCGGAAAGCAGGACTCTCCGTCTCGTCCAGAGCTCAGCTCGCCTACATTCCTCTCCGCTCCATAACCAGCTCATCAACATATCGCCAGTCGCAATACACAGCATCTAAAACATCTGCGGCCTCTAAACCTGTCTCTCCTGCCCCGACCACTACTCCTGCAAAACCACCCGTTTCCTCGTCTCCCTCCCCCAGCTCTTCGTCGAACTCAAACTCCAGTACCACCACCCCTTCAAAACCGACACCAACAACAACCACCGTCCAAAATCTCAGCAAGACGGGCCTAGACGATAAGCCCAAAGACCTTGGCATCTCAAACTCCACCGAAAACAACAACAACAGCAAAGACCATGTCGACTGGACGCGCTCATTCCACGGGCTCAGTGCCGAGCCCTTCTCAAAGGAAGCAGCCGCAGTCCTCCTCCAAGAGGTAAACCCAGAAGACGTCGAGATAAAGCCAGATGGTATTGTCTACCTCCCCGAGATTAAATATCGGCGTATATTGAATAAAGCGTTTGGGCCGGGCGGCTGGGGGCTTGCACCGCGGGGTGAGAGTATCGTCACAGCCAAGACTGTGACGAGGGAGTACGCGCTCGTTGCGCATGGCCGGTTCGTAGACCCCTTCATTTTTTACTCTATATCCCTTCCTCCAGAAACCATTCTATAATATACATAAACTAACAAATATTTTTCCTCTCAATAGCCTTGTCTCCGTCGCGCGCGGCGAACAAGACTATTTCTCCCCTGACGGCATCCCCACCGCGACAGAGGGCTGCAAGTCCAACGCCATGATGCGCTGCTGTAAGGACCTAGGCGTGGCCAGCGAGCTCTGGGACCCGCGCTGGATCCGCAAGTTTAAAGCCAAGTACACCCGCGAGGCGTTCGTGGAACATGTGACGACGAAGCGGCGGACGAAGATTTGGCTCAGGAAGGATGACCCGGTCTCGTATCCGTGGAAGGAGACGAAGTGAGATATAAATAATATGTCGTGATCTGCCCGTGATATATACGTGTATGGAGATGGGAGATGGGGACATATATTGACGTTGGGTGGGTGGATAACCATTGTCTGCCTTGGGCTGTTGAATGTAGCCGGGGGGGCGGGGGCGGGGGCGGGATACCCCTCCATTGAGGTATCCGATCAACTCCTTCTCCTTTCCAACCCCCAGTAGAACGAGTCCCAGCATTTCGACCGCCGCGTACGCCAACGCGGTCAACGAGGTTCCGCTACAGCGCACATTTCTCCCCTCCCCTCCCCTTCCATTCTTAGCACAAAACTTTTGCCCCATCCTCCCAATAAAAGCAACCAACCCACGTTGCTTCCACCTACTACTCGAACCTCCATCTAAAAAAGCCTTCAGTCACCGTGTCAACCCAGGACGCCTTTCGCCATCTTCCCCATCCCATGGCAGGGTCATAACATTACGAAAGGCTAATGAAAGTCGCAATATCCCATACACCCAGATACCCATGTGCATTACTATGTTTTTCCCATGTATTATTTTATTTGCTGTATCCCCCTGCATGTATAGACTTCCGGGGGAATTCTGGTCTTTCCTCTCTTGTTCTTGTTTGTTTTAACACTTCCCCCCCCCTATATATTATCAAAAGCGATAGTTTCTGTACGATAGATGGTTTTTTTTTAGGTAATCCCAGTATCTCTCTGTATGTACATGTACATACAGTACATATATGTATATGTGATAGAATAATATACGGGATATTGCAAACGAATGGTTGGATGGAAACATTTGGGCAATGCTATGACTGAATGGCTGAAGCTGTTTTTAGCACGGGGTGAGTGCATTTTCGAGTAATTGTACTATAACTATTACAATCTGCATGAATATTATATCGCGAATCCCTCTTCTTGTTAACGGGGCTAGTTCAATATAGCAACGTTTGAGAGAGGGCATAAAACCGTTAAGACGCAAGATAATAATTAATACATATAAAAAAATCATAATAACTATATATATAGGGAAGAGCGTACGGAGTAGATGGGTTAGAAGATAAAAAATTCAAAATATCCAAAAACAACGCATGCAACCGCCCCGCCAATTGCCCTCCATAGATCCCACCCATAGTCACATTCAAATAGTATGTTCGTACATTGCCACTGGTCTAGAAACCAAATTCTTCTCTAATATATTTTTGTATATACAAGCCATCTTCGTAAATTCCCCCCAAAATAACAAAAAAATAAATAAATCAAAAATAAATCAAAAATAAATCAAATAAAAACTCCTAACTATTTTTATCTATCATCCTATTTTTATCTATTTCTCTTCAATTCATAAATCATCTATCTCCTCGGCGGCTGCTCTTGATACTGCTGTTGCTGCCGGTGTCAGTACTGGTATTCATTCCGCGGCGGCAGTGCAAACGCATTCCCGCCCGGCGGTGGCACAAGCTGTCTCGGTGGCTGCTGCTGTAACGGTCCTCCTCCCGGGCCTGGAGCGATCGGTGGAGGTAGATTATCAGCACGGCTGCCACTACCTCCATACGCAACTGCTGGCGGGGGCTGTAGTGGCTGCGATTGCATTTGAGATGCGCATGGGTGCGGCGATGGGGGTGGTAGGTATGGATTATCGGCGGTGGGAGAAGAGGAGGAGTAATAGGAGGACGGGTGGCGGTCCCGTTCGGTGAGTTCATAGTATTCGGGTGTAGGGGTTGATGGTAGGGCTGTTGTTGGTGGTGGTTGGGGCGGTGGATGTTGCGCTAGCGGTGGGTTGGCTGCTGTTGCTGCCGCTGCTGGTAATGATGGGGGTGCTGAGGTTGGGGGCACGGTGTGGGTTGGCACGTCGGCTTCATTGATGGGTGTCTTGGGCGATACGAATCTCGTAGCTGGGACTCCCGTCCGTCGTCCTGTGGATGTTCCTCGGGCGACTGGGGGCCCGTCACGGTGTGGCTTGGAAGTCCCGCTTCCGTTGTCGCTTGCGCCTGCTCCATTGTGCTTCTTGGAGGGGGTAGTGTTGCTGTCGCGGGGGATCTCACATCCGTCGATGCGTGCTTGGTCCATCGCTGGTGGACGTGAATGCAGTGCCTGGACGACAGAAGCTTCCTTGTCTTTTGCAGGAACTGATCGGGTTGAAGCGCCCCGGTAAACGGGTTTGCCGTCACCGGGAGACCTGCCTTCCACTGCGGTGGAGGTGCCTTCGGAACCATCCTGCTCCTTGGTACCTGCGAAATAGTTGTCCATCTCATCTGTGGGAACCATCCGTTTCCCCTCTTTACCCTTAGCCCACTCGTCTTTGCTTGCCTGGGCCTGTTCGGGCGATATGGAGACAGAATATGACGGCCTAGTAACGTCGCCCAGCACAGCATCTCCACCGCCAGGTCCATAGATGGGAATCTTGCGAATGGCAAGGACCAATGCACACATGAATTTCGACCGACGGGCAGCTCGGACAGTCTCATTGGACCAGTTGGATTTATGGCGGATTTCGATTTTGAGCTCGAGCTTATCCATATTGCCAAGGCCGACGACCTCGATGTCAACATCTGGCTGGAAATCGCGGCAGTTTTCCTTATCACGGACGAATTTCTGCATCTCGGCCTTGAGCAGCTGGATATCTGCGAACGAGGTACCAAAATCCACCGTGAGAGTGATCTGCTCGCGCATGGCCTTTGAACGAGTGACGTTCTCAATCCATTGTGTGTTCAGAACTATGTTTGGCGCTTGAAAGGTTTTGTGATCTCGAACACCCCTGAAAACGGTGTAAAGGAGAGAGATGTGTTCTACAATCAGTTGACGATCCCCGATATCGACTCTGTCTCCTACGTCCATCGCGTGCTTTACGAAAAGAAAAATCGTGCTGCCGAGGACCTCTTGGGCGGTCGTGGCAAAGACGAAGGATAAAGAAAGAAGAGTAGTCGCCCCCGCCGCAAGAGTGGTTCCAAATCCGGTGTTGAGAAAAGCAACTATTTCAAATTGTTAGTTCTCCCATGTGTTTAATTAGTGCAAGGATTGCGTGGTCTGCATGCAACATACCGAAAACCAAGACAACCATAATGAAGACAACAACACACAGAAGGCTATCCAGCACATGAATTGCCTGATCCACATCATGCAAGCTGTTGTTGATCGATTTTTTTATCCTCCCAATCTCGGTGACAGTAAGTATCATTTCCTCCAGGCTGACGTCACCATTGCCATCGAGATCTAGCATGGCGAAGCATTCCTTCGCATCTTCTTCACGTCCGGAACCAAGAACCTCGATAATATCATCCAATAAAAGGCTCTCTCGTCCCTGGAGGACGAAGGACATCCACAGACGGCGTGCAAGT